CCTATGTGCTAGTCTGTGGTCTTATCTTGGAAAAAGTCCTATATGCTGTTTCAAAGAATATGTACTGTTGTTAGAATAGTCTGTAGACACCTAGTAAGTCTATTTGTTCAAAGGTTTGGTTCAACTCTGATATTTGTTAAATTTTGTCTAGCTGATCTATTTGTAACAATGGGGTATTGAGGTCTCCCATTACAATTTTATTAGGGCTTATTTAATTTTTCATATCCATTAGTGTTTGTTTTATATAGTTACATGTGCAGTTTGGTGCAGTATATATTTATGATATCTCTTCCTCTTAGATTGCTCCCTTACAAGTATGTAATGACCTTCTTTGTCTTTTCTGATCAGTCTTGCCTTGAAATCCACTTTATCTGCAAATAGAATATTTCATTCTTTCATTTGATGATCAATAACCACAAATCTGTCTTCTAGATCTCATATATAACAGTTATATAGTTATATAACATGTTATATAGTTATATAACATACATAACAGTTATATATATAACATATATAACAGTTATAGTTATATAACATATATAACTATATAACAGTTAGTTATATAACATATATGTTATACAGTTATATAACAGTATTTTATAGTTAGATAACAAAATGTAAAACAAACTAGAAAATTATATACAGTAAATACCTAAATAAGAGTGATTTTACCCTCATAGAGAAAACTAAAAAGGGATAAGAGGAAATTGAAAAGGACAAGAGGAAAAAACTAGAGAAATAAAAGAAAAGAAAGATTAAAAGCAAGGCTGAAGGACAAAGGAAGAGTACCTAAGCTTTGGGAAACTGGTGAAGGAGGCTGGAAGAAAGGGGGGAGCGGGACACAAGAACTAAACAAAACTTAAAAACTAAAAATAATGTTCACTCATGGCAAAAACCAAAAACAGCAACAACAACAAAAACCCAAAGAGAAAACAAGATTTCTCTGTGATTTCAAATGTGTGATTATCTTCTAGGGCGTACAGCTGTGTAGCAGTGTCCAATTCAGGGTGTGTCTCCACTGTCACTGGTAGACAAAGGAAGGAGACAGAGCCCAGATCTGTGCTGGATGCTCCCAGCAAGCCTGCAGGATTAGGACAGGGTGATGCACAATCCCAGCAAACCTGCAGTAGGAACAGGGTGGGTTGGAACCCTGAAGTAAGAACAGCAGATTCTGGTGCTTTCAATTTCACTGGTGTTTAGGATGACCTTGGCCTTTGGCTATGCGCCTGGTGCCTGCAAGCCTACAAAACCCTGGGCGTCCTTTGGCAGCCTGACCTCAGCTCCTAGCCCTGGCTGTCTCTGGTGATTGTGCCTCACCCAGTCTCTGGGAGCCCTGAGCGGAACCCAATCCATGACTGCCTCAAGTCCTGGATTCAGTTGGCCTGGCCCTAAAATGGCCAAGCTACCTTTCCAGGAGACCACCCGGACTGGAGTCATTCACCAGCTGTAGTAGCTCACAGAGTCCACTGCTCCATTCCTCTGGCGCATTTCTCTACAGAGGGCTCTGGGGTCCCCTGCCCACACCATTCCTCTGTAAATTCGAGCCTTCTCTCTCACGCCATGAACTGGGAGTCAGGGAAAAAGTGTAGCTTGCCACCTTTTTCTGCCTTGAGGTCTGTCTCTTCACTTTCTCTGTGGGCTCTAATTATTCCCTTCAGATTCCTCCTGGGTCCTGGGGATCCACCTCACTCCTTTTTTTCCCTAAGTTGTTGTATTTCGGTGTCTGGGTTCTGACTCTCACGGAGGCTGGCCCACTGCAGCTTACAGCTCTGCCACCTTCACAGATGTGCTATTTTCAAATTATTTGCACAGAATGTAACGTTAATATCAAGACTTATAAAGACAGTATAAAAAGGAAACATGACTGACCAATCTCATTTATGAATATTAAATATTAATAACTGGATTCCAGTTACATTTAAAAGATAATATATCACAAATAGATCCAGCCTATGCAAGGGTAGCTAAAGGACATAGAGTCAATTAACTTAATTTATGGATGGGTAATTCACCACACTAACATACCTATGCAGAAAACTTGTGATCACAATAGATGAAAAATAAAGTTCATACATCAACAATAAAGACATAAACAGACCTTGATATTGTTCCTCTCCTTCTCTCTCAACAAAAAGCTATTTTATTTGACAAGATCCTTACCAAAGTCAGGAATAAGAATGACTTCTATTTCTATTATTTAGCATTGTTTTAAGGACAGTAGCAAAGCAATGAGAAGAAAGTAAGTCTTAAAAAGTCTCTAAGCCACTTGTGGTGGTGCAGGCCTGTAATCCCAATACTCTGGGAGCCAGAGGAAGGGTGACGGCAAATTCGAACCCAACCTGGGCAATTTAGTGGCTTAGTGAGACGCTGTCCAAAAAAAAAAAAAAGACTAAAGATACAGCCCAGTGAAAAGACCCTGGTCCAATTCTCAGCCTTGCAGGGGGAAAAAAAGCCCCCAAAAGCCTCAAACTCTTTTCTTTTGAAGATCATCTACTCCACGGTAGCAATATATAAAGTTAGCATACTGAAATCAAAAGCCTATATGCAAGTGATTTCCAGTGGAAAGATAAATGAAGAGAGTATCTCATTCTCCAAAGCAAAAAATAATAAACAACTTACTAACTTCACTAGAGATAGGACCCTAGCTGGGAAACCATAAAATACTCCTGAAATATGTAAAAGGAAAACTTGGATATATGGACATGTTCTTGGACAGGAAAACTCAATTTCATGAAACTGTCAGTGTTCCTGAATTTAGACATTTAAAGTAATCACAATAAAAATCACCACACTTTTCCCCTTTGGAGTTAATTTCTAAATTCATACTGAAGAACATGCAAGAAAGAATACGAATGAAAACTCTAAAATACAACAGCAATATTCAAGGTTTTAAAATTGAAATATTAAGGCACTGTTGCATTAACAAAACAAATTCTAAATTCACGAATGGGAAAGTTTCCTATCAGCTAAAAATCTAAAAGTAATAAAGGAAAAAAATTGATAAACGTACCCTAATGAATCAAAAATTCATGCCTTTGCCTTTGAAAAAGAAAGACACATCTGTAAAATAATGGGGAAATATATCCACAGACACAAACGAGCTAACATCTTTAAGACTCTGAGTTTATTAGACAGTACTGAGAAAAAAAGTACAAGCAAGAAAAGTAAAAAAGCATACTAAAACCCAAAATGAATATAAAAGGAATAGCTGGGCATGGTGGTGCACGCCTGTAATCCCAGCACTCGGGAGGCTGAGGCAGAAGGATCTTTGTGAGTTCAATGCCAGCCGGGGCTACAAAGTTCAAGACCAGCCTGAACTGCATTGTGAGATCCTGTCTCTAAATAAATAAATAAATAAATAAATAAATAAACAAACAAACAAACAAACATAAAAACAAATTGAGATAAGCCTTGCTCTATAACAAGTGGGTAACATAACCACACAGAGGAAATAACTACTAGAACTGATATTATAGTTATTCTTTTAAAATATACTTTAAATGAATCTCCACCGTGGGTTATGTTCTGTGGTTAAAAAGAACTGCACAAGTAATCCTAAATGTTATGGTGTACTGTACATAATAGCAATATACAGTTATTTTTAAATTTATTATAGATACATAATAGTATAAAGAAAATATCTTAACCTATTGAGAGACAAGATTTTCAGAATTACACTGAGAAAAAGAGAGGTCTAAAGTAATGGAAGGAAAAGAATACTCATGTAAGTTTACATTTGTACTAAAGTATCAGTATGAATTCGTGGAATTTTTTCACTCCCTAAAGAGCTTATTTATCTCTGGCCTCCCAAAAGAACTATGAATATTCCAATCACCCAGATTATCATCTTTAAATCCCATTTCTCAAGAAAAGGATACAAAGCTCGCTTGAGAGATGGGTGAATCCAAGTCTAGAACATCATCTCACACCACACACAACAGAAAAGCTGCCAAAGAACACAGGAGGCGGGTCACACTACAAAGGCCCAAACAGTCCCACAGGAATCCTGATGCTATGGACAGGACATTCTGAACATCAGGCAAAATGACTACAAAGGACTGAAACCCAGACAGATGTAACACGTGAGTTTGAGTCACTACTGAAGTTTCAGGGAACCAACTCATCATTCTGAAAACTAAGGAAAAAAATCAAGTATTTATCCCGCCTTTCCTATACAAATTGCAACTTAGAATAACAGTTAAAGTTCTTCATTGTACAACTTCAAATAATTAAAGGTGGAAAGTAGAATTAGAAAACAAACATTTTGTAACCACTGAGGAAATAACTAAGGGAATGCTCAATGGAGGCTGAAACCATTAAATCTTTAACTTTCGTTTTAAACCATGATCACCATGGTGGGGACAGATACAATGGAGATCTGCACATGGGTCTTGGTAAGTCTGTGGGACAATCCAGTATCATGAGTCCATCCCTGTGTCACACAAAGATGTGCATTGCTCCAACTACCAAAAATTGTGTCTTTCACTTGTGTATTGGAAAGACACCATCAAGTTAAATGCTCATGTCTGAGCAAGCCATCATACAGAGCTAGAATCAGACACTGTATAGGACAAACAATCCCATTTCTACAACAAATACGTAACATGTTTGTCACTTTCTTCACTGATGAGACGCAATACCCAATATCTGCAATATAAAGGAAGACAGGTTTATTTGGGCTTATGTTTTAGTTAACAGCTGGCTCCAAGGCAGGATGGCATGGCAGAAGTAATGGTGGAGAAAAACTGCTCACCTCATGGCATCTAGGAAACAGAGAGGTGTTCAAGGATGGAGCCAGGAGGGAGTTAGACCCAGTGCAGTCTCACCCACAAAGACCCCCTCTTCCAATCAGACCCACCTCCTAACAGCAAGTACTTTATTATGCCCGCATACACCCATCACCTTTCAAAGGTCCTGCCTATGAGTCTACAAGGATTTATGGAGACAGAAAACCACCACCAAAGCCAAACCATGATCCCCGTTTGCTGTCTTGTTTGCAGGTGCCCATTTTCATCCCCATCTTTGTGATTCTCATATCCGTGTTTTTGGTTCTGGCCCCGATCATCACTACGCCCGCCTGGGAATATCTCTACTGTGTGTTGTTCATCCTGAGCGGCCTCATATTTTACTTCCTTTTCGTCTACTCCAAGTTTGCATGGGCGCAGAAAATCTCAAGTAAGTATCAGCAGAAGGCTGCTTGACATCAGTGAAGGGCAGACAGGCCCAGCAAAGGTCCACCTCACCTGTCCCCATCCTACAGAGCCCCTCATGACAGGATCTCACACAGCCAGCAGACTCCACCTGCTCAGGACACGTGATTGTCCCTCCCCTCACTGTAGTGCCTCTGGCTGCAAGCTTGGGCTCCTTTGTTTCTTTATGGTTTGGGTGGGGCTTAGGGGGAGGGAGTAATAGGGTTCAGACAGGGTCTCCCTAAGTTGTGCAAGCTGGCCTTGAACTCTTGCTCTTCCTGCCTCAGTCTGCACAGTGCTGGGATTACAGGTAGGCACCACTACACCTGGCCTTAGCCTTGCTCGTGACTGTAATAAGCAGAAAGAAAAAGCACTGTTTCTTTTTAATTATAAAACAACTTTCCTTCTAAATCCACTGTTTAGGAATAATTTAGAAATAAAATTTCCTTCTAATCCACTGCTGAGTGGGCAGGGCAGCAGTGTGGAGTATACTCTCATCTCCAGAGCATTTTCTTCTGACAGCTATAGAGACATCGTCTAAGAGGCTCTGAAGCTTCCCAAAGACCCCCAATGAGTGCTTGAGGCTTTGGTCACTGAGTCTGTGGGGGCCACTTTCCAGCCTGCAATCCTGATCCTCATTAATCTTAGGATTAATGTTTATTAAGTTAGTTATGCTACCCTCTATGCCTCTAAAAAGAAAGTACTATGCCAAAGTGTGGACAGAGACTTTGAACCATACCCGTTTAAAAGCTGGGAACTATTTTGTCTTCTACAGCAGCTCAGTTTCTGGAAATCTTCAGGACTTCTGAGCAGCCCCACCAGGGAGTGAGGTGCTCAGAAGTCTATTTTCTGTCTCTGCTTCGAGCGCCCAAAGGTGGAGCTGTGCACAATTCCATTCTAGATCCAGCATTGTGCCCAGCATACTCCTGCTACTTCATATTTAATTTTAAATGTGATTAAAAACCTGTCTCTTCCCTGATCCTGCCAGCCTATCTGGCCAGGCACTTCTATGTAATTTTTATTTATATACCTGCAACTTAGAAAATGAAAATAACTGTTCCTTCCTTGCTTCCTTCCTTCCTTCCTTCCTTCCTTCCTTCCTTCCATCCATCCATCCATACATACATCCATGCATCATTCCATCATCTATATAACTCTTAGGTATGAAAGGTCAAAACCCAACTAGAAGGCAGGGAAGTGCAACTGGGACTCAGCACAGCCAAAAGCGGGTGAGCTTGCCTTTCTTCAGAGCCCTTCGCTACCTGTCTCCTCAGCTGGGGAATCAGGGAACATCAATTACCTGACAGTGGTGCTAGAGGAAAGAGACAATATTCATTTGCTGTTTATTAGCAAAATGAAAGCAAAGCAAAATATGGCTATGTCATTTCCATTAGGGACTTTTTCCTTTCCTGCATAGTTCTTTTTATCCTCAACCTCTTTACGCTGATCTTAACCTAAGCTGATGAGCTGCAGGCACACACCTATAGAAAGGAAAGAAAATTAGTGAAACACTCATTCCCCCCATGCCTCGGAAATGCACTTGGATTTGATCAGAGTGACAGAGAGCCTAAGCAGGATGACACATAACCTAATGGTATAAAGTATGGTCTGCGTCTCAGCTCTGGCATATTTAACCAAGCTCTTACCTCCAAGAACTAGAAAGCAGTTGGGTCTGTAGTGAAAAAACCGAACAGTTTGTATTTTAAACAAAAGCAGTCTTAATGACTTCAGACTAGTCACCACTTAGACAGTGGTAGGAAATACACCCACATACATGATGCACTGCTATTTCTCCTATCAGTTAAATTGTTGTGAGGGGACAATTTAATATTTATCAGGTTCCCAGTTCCTTATAGGAACTAAGTGATTTCCAAAGAACCAGTGCAGCTAGTAAGATAGTTCTGATTCACTCTAAACCCCAGGTGTCTGGAGTGCAGGGTCTAAGAGGGCCATATTACCACAGGGTAAGAATATATCACTAGTCACCAGCAAGCACAGTGAAGCCTCTCAGCTACATCTGTCTAACAGCACTGATCTGCTGACTTCTGTTTCAGAGCCAGTCACCATTTTCCTACAGATGTTAATGGAAGTTGTCCCACCAGAGAAAGACCTGGAGTAACAAGGGCATCCTGTGTATCTCACTCAAAAGTGTGAATTTATTTTTGTAAGCAACATTTGTGGTTATTTTGTTCTCTTTTTCTTACAAACAAGTGTTACGATGTTTATGTAATATTATTTTTAGATAGCCTTAACTCTATGGGTAGGCTTCTAGATAAGAGAGGTGATAGGTGTTTGATAAAGGTATCAAGGGAAGACTTACCTAACAGACGGCCAGTGGCAGATTGCATAAAACCTACCACCATTCTAGTGGCAACTATTTAATAAGGGCACTTCATAGTTACTTAAAACAGGGCAGGAATGGGGGTGTAGCTCAGTGGCAGAACACCTGGTTAGTAAGGTGCTGGATTCCATCACCAGCACTGCAAGTAAATAAGTTAAATTAAATAAAAATAAAACATATCTTTTATTCTGAGTAACTAATTTAAAGATAACAATACACAATGCATTAATCACTGTTATTCTAGTATCTTGTTTTGAAATTTTGTATTATTTTTTCTCTTTAAAATATTTAAAAAAATAAAACATCTTAAACTCAGTGATCTATAGGGTCTATTTTATAAAAAGTAGGTAATATTTTTGCTTTGATGTATAAATATACACACACACATATATATGTATACACACATATATATTAGTGGCAAGTATTTTAAGATTTTTAAAAGTATGTTTTATTTCTGACTCTTCCACACCTCAAAAGTACTGCTGCCTCTGCGCTTAACATAGGATGTACACGGCAGACTGAATAATAAGGCCTGCACTGCAAAGCTGAGCCCCTCCAGAACCACTGGAAGCCTGGGTGACAAGTGTCACCTTCATCATGGGTTGCACCACCTGCTCCCAACAACTTTCAGTGTCATTTTAGTCACCACAAAGCATGGGGAATAAAATTGTGTATGTTGCATCCAGTACTCGGGGAAAATACTGTCTATAAAATGTAAACAGTAACATTTCTGTGAGAACACTGAAATTTTATTAAAGATATGCTGCAAGAGCCATTCACATCACAATAGAGTATGTGAGCAATTTTAGAAGCATAAGCCCTGCACTTTTACCTTGCACTTCAGAAATTTACCGAGACATGCAACCCCTGTATTTTAACAGCAGTACAGAAAACCAATTACTAACTTTTTACATAGTCAACATTCTATGTCCTACAAAATGCTATTCAGAGCTTTAAATATTAGAACATTTGAGTGTCTGCAAAAGAAGCTGAGGTTTAAATCCCCAGCCCTCCTGCCCCAGAGTTTCCAGTGTCTGTCAATGGACTAAAGAATCGGCACTGTGTCTTCTGCCAGGAAGGCACTACTGCTGTCTGTACTGGGAGCAGGCATGAGCACTCCAGGACCAGCCACTGCCACGCCTAAGGGACTCAACACAGCAAGCCAGCAAACCACAGCAAGCCAGGGCCCTCAGGACAGGAAGCCACACTATTGCCCCAGCTTCATACCGTCACAGTGACCACTGACAAGGATGAGCTCTGAGTGGAACCTTTCCAGCAAACTCCAGCATTCTCTGCTGCCTCAGGAGCCACCCAACTTTGCGTCCCACGCTGCTACCTGCCAGTCAGCCTGTCAGTCACAGGGGAGCAAGGATGCACTCCTGGCCAGGCTGGGCCACATCCTTCACCTGGAGGGCAGGGGTCTGCCTGACACCTGTCACAGAGTCCCCGCACAGACACAGATGCGGTCCCTGCACAGCAGCACTTTGGGCACTGCCTGCGGAGAAGAGAGGCTGTGCATGAGCTCAGTATCTTATTTCCCAGATGAAGAAACAGAGCCAGAGCTGGCCCCAGTCCTGCTCATGAGATAGTGTCCTGAGTTTCCCTCAGTTCGAACAGTGGCTCATACTTGGGATGTACAGGAGCCTGAGCATCCACGCTTTGTGATGTGACAAAGAGAAGAGAGGTCTTGGGGTGGGCGCCCACCAGTCATGTTTTGCTAGTGTTCTTTTCCACATCTAGGGAAAACTGACTGATGTTGAGGAAGTGCAGAGAGTGGTTAGGCATACTGGGGGTTGAGCCCAGGGGCACCATACTACATCTCTAGCCCTTTTTGACATGAAGTCTTGCTAAGTTGCACAGGCCAGCCTTAAACTCGTGATCCTCTTGCCTCAGCCTCAAGTGCATAAGGTTTTCACTTTCCCAGCTTTCCAACTTTTTCAATCAATGAAGGAATCTAATGATGAAAGGTCCGCCCTGCATATTCCCAAATGAAGTGCAAGGACGATGTACACTTTCCCAAGAACTCTCCTGATCCCAGCTGCTACAATCTTACCAGGTGTGCTCACCTCCCCCAGGTGTTTGAAGGTTACCTCCAGGCACTGCACAGGTTCCCATTCAGTTGCCAAGGGTTACCCCTCAGTCTAGTGGAATGGAAACTATGGCACACCTGCTGCACAGGGCTGTCTGTATCACTGAAAGCTCTAAAAGGTCCCTTTGCAAGTCCAGCACGCTACCTGGAACCCACAGCTTCACCTCTAGAAAGCCTGGGTCTTGCTGGCCTCGTGGAGGTCATGGCACATTGTCCTTGGGAAAAGATGTGCACAGAATTCTCTCAGTAACTATCAGTGCCTTGAGAACAGTAGAAGTGTTACTGCTTCTACTCTGTTATGGGGAATCCCAACTGACTGATGTTTGAAGGGGTCTGTGAGGCAGTTACCGAGTATGAACTGGGAAGACGGAAGCCTCCATTTACCTGCACACGATAAGCTGTGAACAATGTACCAAACACAAATGCGGGTCTACATGACAAAGACGTGTGGGCGGACTCCAGGCCCAAGTGCCAGTTTGCTCTCTGCCACTGTGACAGAGCAAACCTGAGCATGTCAGGATGGGTGTGAGGGGCCGGTGGGGGGGACACACACAGCACAGCCTGGGCTTGCGCCAGACCTGCGCTCTTCGCTTCTCTCAGTGCAGACCCCACCTCGACCCACCTTTGACAGTCATCGTCTTCTTCTTAACCTATTTTTAGGTGGACTAAGAGTTTCTCACCATTACTCATCCCAGTGCCACAAAGCGACCTTAGTAGAGCCTTAGCCTTCGGGGGAAAGCCTTGGCTGTGAAGCTTGTTTTCTCAGCTCCCAGTCACTCGCCCATGTCCACTTGTGTTCAGAGGCCTCAGGCTGCTCTTCAAGGCTCAGTGCACGTTCTCATTCACTCTCACTTCCGTCGTCCTCATCATCTGTATAGCTGTCGCTGTCTTCAACCATCTCGGCCACTTTGCGGGACAGGTCTTTAGACCTTACAACTGTAAGAGTTAGATATTGTTTAAATGTGAAGTACAGACTCAGTTGTAAATCTGCCCAGCCCCGTTATTTTGGTCAATGTAGAAATATGAGTGTCTGTGGAAGTGCTACCAGAATGTGTGGGTTAATAAATACTCTTACTGAAACTTTAGCACCAAGATCAACCACAAAGAGAAAGGAAATTTCTAAGGTCTTTAGCCAAACAGCCCATTTCCAGAGAGTCTGAATCCCTCAGAACTGCTGATACCCGCCCCCTCCCTCCCTCCCACCCCAGACTCAGGTGCCTTCCCCAGGCAGCAGGCCCTTCCCATCTCACCCTTCGGGAAGAGGCCCTCCTCTCTGTCTTCATCATGTTCTTCCCAGTGGTCAAAGTCAAAAGTCACATTAGGATTCTGTTCAATACAACCGTTTACACAAGTGAATGGATATAACATGCCCACGTGTGAAGACCTCCAACCGCACTTCACAACGCACCTTCTGTTGGAGTAAGCGGCACCAGGATCCCCTTTTCTCTTTTGCAAGAGTGACTACAGGCTCATCGTTTATAATTATGCACTTGCAGTCTTCTTTTATGATGTTGGCCTGAAGCTCCATGTCAGCCAAGTAAAATTTATCTCCCACCCAGGCACTAGTTTTATGAAAAGAAACAAAGTCAGCCTGCTAAAATGTTGACTTTATTTTTGATTTACCTTGTAAGATATACATACACCTACCTGAAGACAACTCTATCTTGATAGTATTTACATTTATAATCCTTTATACTCCTTAATCTTATCTTTAGGACGACAACATCATCCTTTTGGAACCACTTTATTTGTGGGTGAAAGCTAAAAGGGAAGAGAAAGGCTTATACGTTCAGTGGGTAGTTCCCAGTGGAGGGAAGCTGGTGCTCCAGCAACCGACAGACATACCTTTTCAGCGGTGGTTGCGATGTTCTGCTAATGGGAATATCTCCAGGGTTTTCAGATAAAGTTTCTGTACAAAATTAAATGTTTTTTACAAAACATATATAGATATAGATATGTACATATAAACTCGTTCACATCTTAGCCAACTTTCAGATGAGGAATTACTTATGTAAAGGTACAAATTTCATAGTAATGCAACTACCCAGTTGCAAAGAATAATTAGAGAAAATGCACGTCAGTTGTATTAACATAATATTTTAAAATAAAAACAAGCTTTAACAAATACTAAACAACTAAGGAGTATAGTTACTTTTTGGAGAGGTACCACATTATGACTGCTAGCTATAGGATATAAATGCCCAGGCTGTCTTAACCTGTCAGGGCAGTGCCCAAGATGACTTCCAGACCACAGACATCATGCTGCAGGAACAAATGCTGAATACAAATTTTCTAAGACATTGTAATTTAACCTCTGTAATCTAATATATTTAAGGCTACTATCTAAATCCTTAGCAAGGTTCACAGTAGCTTTGACCACAATAGTCCTGCTTAAAGACCCCAGTACCTCCCAGTACACTGTGGTGTATTTGTATCACAGAGTAGAACTCAGCAAGTTAAAACATATTGCTTCTTGCAGTAATACATATGAATTTCATAGACATAATGACGACTGACGGAAGCCAGTACAGAGCATACTGCATGCTTGCAATTCAGTGAAACTAATGGTGGCAAGACTCAGAAGAGTAGTCACTGTGGAGGGTCCTGAAAACCCTCAACAGTATGACCCAGGTGTGGCTAAGGGACAGGTGCACATGCACAGACCCTGATGAGCTGCCTCCTTTGTGTCTGTGCACTTCTCTAGCTATACACTATCCTTCAAATGACAAAAATGGAAAACAGCTGCAAAAAAATGCCACTGCAGTGAACTGCCTAAGCAGAAACAGTGAGTTGTCTAAGTGATGTCATCTTCTATTTCAGCTAGAGGAAAGCCCAAACATGAGAAACCCTCCAAACATGAGCAGTACCAACCAGATGTTGAGTTTTCTGACTTTGTCTCAGACCCAGTCTCTCTTTCTGTGCCACAGTCCTCTTGGTGCACTTCCAGCAGACAAGTGGTATCTTCTGCTGACACTGAAGGAGATGAGGGAGATGCCGAGGGAGGCGTCCTGGACAGAAGAGGCAGAGGTTAACTCTGGATTTCTAGAGATGCTTGGGCAAAGAGTGGAGGGTGGCAGCTACTAAAGAACTGAGGTTCTTGTGACCCTGACATTGATCACTCACTTACCAAAGGCAGGACAGGACTGAACAGCTCTGTTTACAACTGGGCCGTGCATCAAGCACTTGGTCAATAACAGACAGGGATTATCAAGCAAAAGAATTTGCTCATTTACTGAAATAATTTTCCTTCCAAATTCACTGAACTTTTGAGAGTAGCAACATACACTGCTATCTCATTTCAAACAGGATAAAAGGGCAAAAAGTGAAAAGGCAGTTTCCCTTCCTTGCCTGCCTGTCTCTCAGGCTATCTTCCCAGAGACCACTCCATTACCAGCCAGGTCAACTTCTGGAAAAATTCTTTGAACAAAAAAGCAAATACTACTATCCATGCCTTTTTATCTAAAACAGAGATACATGTTCTTCAACACAAGGCAACCTACTAAATTAAAATGTGCTGCCCCTCACTTCATTATACCTAACAGCTAGTTAGAGATTACCTCCTCTCAGAACACAAAAGGCAGCTTGATTCTTTAGAAAATTTCTTGTATTACTTTATTGTTTTGTGGGCTAGATAACCACCATAATCACGTTGGGTTTCTTTTGCGGTGCTAGGGATAGAAGCCAGGGCCTTATGCATGCCAAGCAAGGCTCTACTCCTGAGCTATACCCCTAGTTCAAAGTTTTCTTTTTTTTTTTTTTTTCAAAGATGGATTCTTGCTCTGTTGCCCAGACTGACCCTGAACGCACTATCTTCCTGCCTCAGCCTCCCTGGGTACTGGACTGTAGGCAACCCAGCTCAGTATCTTAAAGCAAATAAAAAAGTCTAAGGTGCTGGGGATTTAGCTCAGTGGTGCAGCACTTGCCTGGCAAATTTGAGGTCCTGACCTTGATCCCTAGCACCCCCTGCAAAAAAAAGGTCTACCTGGTGAAATCTCCCTTGTACCTACTTCCTGGGCATCCAGTTCCCTTCTTCAAGGGTGACAATATAATTCATCTTTTGTGTCTCCTTCTTTGCTGCTTCCAGCCCAAATGAGCAAAGCTGCACAGACACCTCTGCTCAATTACAAGATCATAGTGTAACACATCCTACGAGGAGGGAGTGTTAGCTAGTGGATCTCCCAGGGGACTCCTGGTCTGTGTGTTTGAACCTGGGGCACAGCATTCCCTGAACAGCAGAGGATAGAGCACCCTACCCACAGCCTGCTGCCACCTCCTCCTCCTCCTCCTTTTCCACAGCTGACCTCCTCCGTAGATGCTCCTTTGCCAGCTCTGCACCTCCTGTCTCACAGTCTCCAAGCAACCGCCCTTTCTAACTGCTTCCTCCAAGCTCTCAGCTTATACTTTCAATAAGCTTAAAACTTAACATATCTGAAACCAAATTCAGCATCTCTTCCTCTCCAGTGAGCCACTCTGAAAGCATCTCTCACTATCGAAAGTGCCAACGTCCTGGGTCTCTCACTGGGTCTCAGAGCAACAGTCTCAGCCCTCACACTGGCCACTCACCAAGTCCTATGGCTTTGCCATCCATGAGTGCCTGGCCCTGTACCCCTTTCCTAGCCTGCTGGTGGGAGGGTGCTGGCCTCCTTTAGATGCAGGTGATGCCGCCACACCCTCACCCATCTCCCCATGAACTGTCCACCTTCATCCCAGTGTGCGGTACTCAGGTGTACAGAACTCTACAAACCCTTCAATGTCCACTGGCTACCACCCAGGTGTAAGGCCAAACAATGACGCCTTCTATGCCTAGCCTCCAACCCAGCCTTGTAAAACTTTCCACAAAACTCCACTTACTGTTCCTCCGATTTGCCACAAATTTACCTAATCTACCTAACTTCCACAATGGCTGCTTCCCCACAGCCTTAAATATTCTTCACTGCCATTCTATCACATCGTCATTTTCTAAGAACTCTTGGACAAGCTCCAGTACCACAAACCAAACAAAAACTTCAGACTGTAAATTATTTTCATCTTTTCCAGGTTCTTTGAAATGCCCTTATTTCCTGCTGCAATTTCAGCATCTTTCAATGCCACCAAGGATACCACCACTAAACTCAGTGGTCAGCTGAGTTCTCATTTTACGTGGCTGGTGGCAGCTGCTGACACAGCTCCTCTTGTGTCTCCCATCCAGAGCTGTCCTCTCTCGGGCTCCCTCCCAGCCTGCTGGCTGCACCTTCTCAGGCTCTTGCTGCCGAACAGTAGGACCCACGCACTCTGCTGAGCACTCCCCTTACCTCTGCATTTGAGTTCTCTGAACTCCCATGTGCCTGGTTTCACCCCAGCACAGCAGGAGACTGGCTTTAGACTCCCACTGTTGACTCCAATGCCCTACATACCCCTTCTCACTGCAAAACCAGCAGGCTTTGAAAGCCATTTCGAGAGGTTTAACTTGATCAAAGGACAGCTTGTGTCTGCTGTGCTGGGAGTAACTGAAAAAGGAGTTGGGGGGCACAGGCTGTGTCCTCAGGGCAGACAAAATGGTGTGCAGAGAAGCAGCTGGTGTTGGAATGTGTCCTGAGGAAAAGCTGGGGTGAAACCAGGCACATGGGAGTTCAGAGAACTCAAATGCAGAGGTAAGGGGAGTGCTCAGCAGAGCTCCCATAAGACCTTAAGCTGTCATCTTGGGCCAATCCCTAGGTGACATCTGGAGAAGCTGGAGTCAGTGTACACAGCTGGCAGGAGTATAAAATGGGGTTGCTGCCCCAAGCCATACTCTGTGATGGCTCCTTGAAACGTTTAATGCAGAACTGACACATGACCCAGTTATGCTTTTATTATATACCCTAAGAAGTCAAAGCAGGAACTCAATTAGGTACAACTGTATATATTTTAAAAACAAAAGACATTCAAATAGCATCAAAAAGTGAATGTATTTAACCATACTTGGATGATACTAGAGCAAATGGATCAATAATATTTCGTGCTACAGCATGTTCAATGAACTGAAAACAAAGTTGGACGGAGGAAGGCAGAGGAACTCTGTCTTGTAAGAGCTAGAATCGAGGGACTCCGTAATCACCTGGCATCCTCTCAATGTTGTATCTGCAGTTAGAAATGTACATGACAGAAACTCCAGGGATCTCCCGGATTCCCCAGTCAACAGTAGCCACAATGTAACACTTGCGCTGACTTACTTGCTGCACAAAGCAGTCATCTGCATAGGTCCCTTTATGTGTGCAAGGTAATCATTCTAATCGGAGATCCTTGGCAACCCTTAGAGCCACTCGATACTTCTGTCCTAATATCTCAATTCCAGTCATTCACAATCAGCTATACAAGAGATAACTTAGCACACAGTCCATCAGTAATTGCACTATGTCCAATGTGGCTTTGATGCAAAAGTTAATAAGGTTGATATTAAACAGAATATGGTAAGACGGGCCCAGCTGTGTATTATATTGGAAGAATAAGCACCAAGGATGTTGGGGGACTTCTCTTTCCTTTACAGCACTGGGGTCTTTTCTTTCTTTTTAGGTTTTCATCTAAGCTTTTCTTTCAGTCTCTCGTCTCTGAGACTAAGCATTCGCTTAATGGTCACGTATTTCCTTGCTTTCTTGTGTTTCCCCATGCTCACACCACACTCGTGCTTCCTCCCTACTGTGTATACTTTTAAAAGCCGGTTCCTCCACATCCTCACCAACACTTGGAATCTCCCTTCTCACTTTCCTTCCTAGGTGGGGCTGTGATGGATTATTCAGCATGGCTTTAACCTGTCCTTCCCTGCTGATGAATGAGCTGGAGCACTTTTTTGTATTGCAACTAGATACTAGAAAGTGGCTGCTCAAGTCTTTTGCATCTAGTTGAGTCCATAGCTTTCTTTCTGATTAGTTCTTGGTAGAAACCCTTCCAGGACAAACATGCCATGCCATCATCCCCCTCTGGGGTCACCACTATACCCTCTCAGAGGGACCTCACAGTCTCTCATTCACTCACATATCTCATATCCTCACATAGCTCATATCAGAGGCACATAAACTGGGATAGTCACTTTGGACACTGGTGGGCAAGTGGCTCTAACTATGATTTAGCAATTCCACTCTATGAGATGACCAAAAGCCACACAGAAAATGATTAATGTGTCATTACCTGAAAGAGCCTCAATGGAAGTTCCCCAAGTCCACAGTAAAATGTGTAAACAACGAGGGTACACTCAGGCAAAGGGACATTAGGCAGCAGGGCATACCTAGGTCTCCAGCTATGTGATTAGTGTGGAGGAACTGTGCAGGCAATGCTGGATCACAGAAGCTGGATATGAGACAGACATACTGCATGCTTCCTTTCAAATAAAGTATAAACCCCAGCTATGGTATTCCACTGAGAAGAACGGTTCTTTTCAGGAGGGGAGAGAAGTGGCTTTCATTGCCTGGGGCTGATTTTCTGAGTGTGCTCAGAAAACCCATCAAGCTACACTTGGAATGCACGCACTTTTCTGTATGTGTGTTATCTACCAAAACTAGTTAAAAGAAGTTCTTTCTGTAAGAGATATAGGTAAAATAATATACATGAGATTTCTTTCACAATCGTCCACCAAAAACTTGAGTGAGGGTTGGGGTATGCATAAAGCAAGATTCTCCAATTTTTGCACTTTTTCTTCTTGAGTCAAGGTCTTGGTATATAGTTCAGGCTGGACTTTAACTCATTATACAGCCCAGGATGGCCTCAAACTCAAGATGCCTCCTCCTGCCTCATCCTTCTGAGTGCTGAAATTTCAGGCATGCACTACTGTGCCTGGCCATTCCCCAAATATTGGTGATCACTAGAGCTGAGTGACAGGAACAAGCAAACTCATTTAACATCACCCTTGGGAGTTGTATTTCCATAAAGGAGGACAACTGTCCTGAGTGGGAGACAGAAATGCACTTACAGGGTTTGGTTTAGGTCTTCTTCAGAAGTTGGCATTTTAGCTTCTTTGTATAATTTTTTTAGTTCTTCTACATGTTCTGAATTATCAATGCCCATTCCCATGGACAAAATTTCAGCTCTCACATTATAATCAACAACAGAAGTTCTCAAATTCACAAGTTTTGTAACATGTACCTTGAATCAGAGAAAAAACATAACATTTGAAGAAATCACATCTTATTATCCCAGTATTACTGAACCCAGGGGTGTTCTACTACCGCACTATAGCCTCAGATCTTTTTGTTTTCTGAGGCAGAATCTAAGTTGCCCAGGCCATCCTTGAACTTCTGATCCACCTGTCTCAGCCTCCAGGTAGCTGAGATTACAGGGGTGCACCACCATGCCTGGCCATGCTTTAATTTTTAATTGAACCATGAATGCCCTCGAGTGTTCTCTGTAATGCACCATGGCATATGCTCCCCACTGCAGCATCTGCTTACTTCACCACTGAGGTTCCAACAGAACCATCTAAAACCCAGTCCCACACTACAAAAATATGATCAGATGTGGGAATAAAATACTTAGTCCAGATCAATCTGTAACACTGTAACTGGAAAGAAGATTGTGGGTTTTTTTCTGATTCTTATTTAGTTACTTTTACTTTTATTAACAAGAGAGATCCTAAAGCTCAGAGTCCTCTTGTGCCCAGAATGGGCTTATGTCAAGACTGTAAATCATGTGTTCTGGATCATTTCCTCCACCTATCTTTTCTGCAACCAAAACATTCTCATTCATTTCAATTTATACAATATTAAGTAAACAATAAAAATCTGCAGTAGTCTGATTTCTACGGAGGGAAAGTATAGGAGTGTCTCTTCCTTGGAGGGCAGAAGTGGGCCAGGCTGGCCTGCTAGGCACCTTCCATAGTGAACCTTGGGTATGAGTCCCATCTGCAATGGGCAGAAAAACCTTTGTGCCCTTAAAATGGAGGGGTAGCTGGGCTGGGTAAAGAAGAATTGCACACGCAATGCTGAGTCGCAGAAGCTAGACATGAAAAAGACGTAATGCATGCTTCCATTCAACAAAGTACAAAACCCCAGCTTCACTTTTCCATGATTGGAGAATGGCCGCTGGGGAGGAAATCAGAGGCGGCTGGGGTCTGTTCCCCTCCAGTGTGTCAGGAGACAACTGTTACACAGTCTGTGTGTAGCTGTGCAAACACATTTGCCACGTGGGTTTTCTTTTTTGTTCCACTCTCTGAGATGTAGTTTTAAAAATCCCTAATTCCAATTTCCACTTTTCTTCTCTAATGAAGAGCAACTGTAATACTGATTATGAGCACATCAACTAAGATCCTCTTACTCTACTCACTTGCAGTGGTAATCTGTATTTTCTAAAAAATACTTTCTCTTCCTTTTCTTTTTTTTTTGGAGAAAGGGTCACATTTTGTAGTGCAAGCTGGCCCTGAACTCACTATGTAGCCCAGATTGGCCTCGAATGCTCAATGATCTTCCTGTGTCAGTTTCCCAAGTGCTAGAAATTCAGTTGTATGCCACCACATCTGGCTTCTCCTCTTATTCTTAAATCTTATACAGATACTCCCCTTTTGACATGTTCAAGGTTTTCTAACCTTATAAAAATAACTTCCAGCAAAATAGTTCACTTAATTGAATTCTTTTATATGTTATAATCACAGTAATTAAGATCTAACACAACAAAATCTTGAATTGAAAAGTACAGTTCTAGTAGTGCAAGTGGAGAAGGCATGGTGCCAGCCAGTACAGAGACAGAGGCCCTGAGCCCCATGTCCCGGGTCATATTCACTCTACACCCCTAGTGCTGCTGGAGAGGGGCCTCCACTGCTCTGCTCAAAGACGAAACCCTGGAGTCCAGCACTAGTCTTGGCATAGGTGCTCAATAAACAGCTGCTACGTGAATGTGAACACAAGACTTATCTTTGAGAGCCCAAGGACTGGAATCCTCAGGATTACCAAGCATGTGCCGGATCTTTAGGATCATTTACAAACTAGAAAAGATGGGCACTATTATAGCAATCATTGGCCTGGAGCCTGTGTAAAATGTATAGACAGTGCGCTGTGAAATCAACTTAATGAGTGTGATCAATGCTTGAAAAAGTAGCACAGAATTACAAATACTGGAATGACAAAGGTAGCAAGGACAGTTTCACAAAACTTCAGTTGTGTAGTGTGAGAGTATGACATCATATATACAAATACATGTGTGCACTTGGTTACAACGTAAAACAATCCATCAAATGAACTAAACACACAGCCAAATTAATGACATAATGTGTAAAACACCTCTCCCTAACAAAGAGCACCAAATAAGCTGTGAAACATCACAATAATCTGGATCATTTTAGTGACCTGTTCAAAATAATTTCTTCTTAGGAAACCTGCATACCTACCATTGAATCAATCCAAACTGTATTTCCCAAAGCCAATACCACTTTTGCATCATGTAATTTTCCAACAATTTTATGATGAATGTACCTAGTAACCTGAAAAAAGCATTTCTGTTATTTTTCTGAAACTTTAACAAGAAAATACCTTATTCTATATATACTGTATGTATACTTTGCAAAATATTCCTGCATTTCATCTGAGTCTCACAACAAGCCTACGTCAGGGAAGCATCTACCCGCTTTCCTTGCTGAGGGTAATGGTAGAGTTTAATGAGGATGGGAGTGGAAAGGTGTCTTGCTCAAGGTCTCCTGCTAGCAAGTTCCAAGGTCAGGCAAGAGTGTCTGAGCCTTTGTGCTCCCAACAAGTGCTTCCACTGTAGACATGGTCCTCCCATCTCCTCCACCAACTGCCAACATGTCTTTAGAGTGTGTTTATTTCCTTGAAAGCTCAATGGGAGTGAAGTGAAGGTTGCTCCTGCTGGCCCAAAGAACATCACTAGGGACTCACTCTGCAGCCAGCAACAGGGGAACCAAGGGGCCAAGTGCACTGCTGTTTCCTCTTAAGCAGGGCCAAAAGGTGAGACTGTCAATGTTTTGTGGGCATTTAAACACCAATAAAGCACAACAGGAGGGAGCCTGTCATGTTCATGAGACTGTTTCCACTCTCCTTCAACTCGCTACATGAATTTGGGAGAACATACACAGGAGAACACGTGTTCATTTCTACAGAAGGCTACCTGTCAAAGAACTGTGGTCAGGTGTCTTTACAGACCAGAAGCCTCTTTAGGATGAGGACCCCGCCCTTCCTCCTAGAGTAGGGTGACATACCCAGACTCAGCATGGAACCTGGCACACAATGGCCTCTCAGTAAATACCTCATCTGACAAAGACAAGATTACCCCTTGATAGAGGCTATTTTTACTAACCCCACAACACGAAGTTTGTTTTCCTGGAAGTAATCACTTGTTCATTTCTTGGGCAGTGCTTAACCTTATTTATAACCCACTGCTTTTACTTTGCTTATTGTAATGGTTTCACATCCCATTAATCAGGATCCACAATATTTAACCTTCTCTTAAAAGAGTCAGGAGCACTGTTATGAAAAAGACTCACTGCCCCAGTGATAAGCAGAGCTGTCAGGCCCCCCAGCCCACTCTGGCAGCACATTAGCCCACGTGGGACTACACTGTGCCCCGTGTCCTAGCACAGGCAATGTCTCCGCCATCAAGGCTTTATCTATCCACGCTGCTTGGTGACATCCTAGTGATGCCATAGGAAATGTCCCTTCCGTTGGAAACTTTTCTAGCCTCCATCTCCCTTTCCTAGTCCATTCTTTACCCCAACAGAACCACCGGGCCCTGCAGAAAGCAGCCGCCATTTCTGTCCCCACTTTGGGACTCGGTTTTGTAGGTAATCACACTGCTTCTTCCCACTAGGACGACAGCCAGTTTACTTCACCATGACTTCTGTGTTGCACCAATAATAGGATTTTATGTACAGTGGCAGTCAGTACACCATTCTGCACCAGCAGGGACCTAAGCAGACTGCACTCTAGGACATAAAGCTAAGGCCCAAACACAAAGCTTTAAATTCAAATGAGCCCCAATTCTGTATAGGTTCTGGGTTAAATATATTCTACAAGTAAACAAAACATAAAAAGCAAAGGAGACTCACCTTTGGATTCCATTCCATCTCCCCATCAGTAGGTTTCACTCTGCAGACAATAAACTCCACAGCCTGAGGGGGAAGAGCACTGAAGTTCTCAGGGAGATCCAACAGCTGGTCTGGGGCAACAAGCCCTGTCCTGCCTTCATCTATGAACTTCACCAGGACACTGCTTGGGGCCCAAGAATCTTCTTTTTGGGTCATCTCTAACACCTGGACCCTGAACAACAACTGTAGCATCAGTGATTCTAAAACAGGAAATTATCTTTCATTCAACTTACCCATCAAATGGAAAATATACAAAAGACTCCCACATCACATGTTTTACTCTACACTAGGTATATAAAAACTTCAAGAGCTCTTAGTGGCCCATTAAAGTACATAAAATATAAAGCAGGTAGTACTTCTGAAGAATAACTCCCTTTATCAGACAACCTAATAAAAACACAGCAAAATAAAGTTTCACCATTTCTAACTCAAGGCGGTCACCACGAGCACTGGGTGTAGGTTCAGAAAAGTGGGTGCAAACAAGCACATGCGTCAGACGGGTCAGGCTGGGACACTGACTGTGCCACCCAGTGAGCTGAACTTCGACAATCTGTACAATGTAACCCTCCACAACTCAGTCTGCTTATCTGTAAAATGGCAACACTGCCCATTTTACAGGAATTTGGTAAGAACTAAATGAGTTACAGATGCATGTGCATGCAGCATACAATGCTAACTCAAAAACATCTGGGTTGCTCTGCTATCATGCTCTGTGCTTGGGAGCCAGGGTGGTGTCTCATGTACCCTAACCGGGGTCTGGGGTATACTGCGCCACAACAACCTCCTAGGAGGGGCTGAGCACGGGGTGCACACATTCAGTTAATGGCCAACAGTGAAAACAGGCATGCAATACCACTGCAATTACTTCATATCTCAAAACATTTACAGATGAAACATATTTTACCTGTGAAAAGATGTTTTTTCTTCTAATCCATACAATCCAAATTTCTTTAGCTTCTCAACAGTTGTTTTATGACTAGAATCTTTAAAATACTCATTCATTTCAGCATTAAGAGTTGCATAAAGATCCACATGTTTATCAATTATGCGACCAAAATAATTTGTTGCATTTGAAATATAACAAGGTATTATCTGAAACATATAAAACGAACATATTCAAAAAGCACATTTAATTTAAACCAAAGATGTATACAACCCCTGTATCTGCAGAAGATGTACCTGACCTAAGAATCCAAAGTATGACAACAGGGCTTCTAAAAATAAGCCAGAGCAGGGTATTGGTGATGTGCACCTGTAACCCCAACGCACTGCAGGAGGATTGCCAAATCCAAATCCAGCCTGGGCAACTTAGTAACTTCTGCAAGACCCCCATCGCAACATAAAAATTGGAAGGTTGCAGACTCTTTACTCCTGCATTGCCCAAATGATAAGACTCTGCAGCCCTCCAGTTCCCCTCCACAGCATCAGCACATCAAAACACAGTTTGCATCAGCAGAAAGGAGGTGGCCAAAGGAAGCTTGTGGACTGGATGCTCTTCACAGAAGGGCGGGACAGAATTAGGCTCAGACTCAGTGACCTACGTGTCCTGGTGTGTAGGGAACTTTTCTGGCTTTAGCACCAAAAGTCCTATGTGCTGGGAAAGCCTTCAGACTTGACTGTGCAAACTGGGAGGGTACCTTTTCGCCACCCTCCGCTGCCTGTTTTAATTCTACTCTACCCGGACCTTTGCAGACAAATACCTTAGTCTGTTACTGTTGCAGGATCCAAGGTAATGATATAAAAACCAACTGAACTTCTAAAACAATTAGAAAAGGTAACTTAAAAATAATATTAACAACAGCACCCCAAAGCAAACTACTAGGGATAAATTTAACACAGTAAATGTGACCCACCTGTCATTGAAAACTAACAATGCTTGTAGCAATTAAAGATGATTTAGAGTTATGTATTATGTTAATGGACTAGATGACAGAGTGTGGTTAAAATGTTAATTCTCCCCAAATTAACCTTCAGACTCAATGCAATACCAACCAAGAATCCCAACAGGCTTACAAGTATAAAATTTTACATGACTATGCAAAGAAAGAGAAAAAGAATACTAAAGAAGGGTAAAAGGAGAAAACTTACCTCCCAGTTTTCAAGACTATAACACTATGGTAATCAAGCCAGTATGGTATAAGAATAGACAGAGGAACAGAGTCAAGAACTCCAGAATCTATACAGATGGTCTCCTTTTTTACATCACAGGAAATGTGACTTAGGGCAAAGAGAAGGCCTTTATAGCAAACAACACTGAAACAACTGATTATCCATGAGGCTAAGCCTTGTACCCCATCTCACTTCAAGCAAAAAGTAATATGGATGAATGATAGACATAAATGTAAAATTATAAAGCTTGTAGGAAAAAGCACACGGTAAAATCTTTGTGATCTCAGAGTAGACAAAGATTTCTCATGTGAAAAGTACAAAACATAAAATGATACACTAGATCCCACAGAAATTAAAAACCTTTGCTCGGCAACTGAGAGAAAAAAAGTATATATATAAATAATTTTTTCTCTTTGACACAGGGCATCCAGAATATGTAAAGAACTCTTTAAAATTTGATAAAGAAAAAAATCTAAATAAAAAATAGGCAAGAGCCAGACATGATGGTACACACCTATAATCCTAGCACTCTAAGAGACTGAAATAAGAGGATCACAAAGTTGAGCCCAGCCCAAGCAAGCAATTTAGTGAGAACCTATCTCAAAATAAAAAATAAAAAACAGCTGGGGAACAACCATTGGTAAATTCCTAGCATCTTGTCTAGTAAAACTTTGTACTGTTTCTAATGGTTTTTTTTTTTTTTTTTTTTTAAATTCTCTTTAATGGTTTGATCAATCTTGCATTCTTGTATCTGGCAATCTGAGCAACCTCGTTGAAGATAACAGTGTGTAATATAACAACCACTGTTAATTCCTATCATTTTGTTCTGAAATCTTGTATCTTTTTTTTTTTTTGCTTTGTTTTATTTTTGTCTATGTTGTTAACATTTTGCTATTGTTCTTTTTTTATTATTCTCTTTAAAACAAAACAAAGCAGCTGGGGATCCAGCCCAGTGTAAAGGCCCTATGTACAAGTACTAGGAAAAAAAGGTGAACAGAGATTTCATATGATATAAATGGTTCATAAAGGATGTGATGGAAAGAAAAGATGCTCAAGATCCTTAAGTATTAGAGAACTGCAAATAAGGTATCAGTGAAACAGAATGGCTAAAGTACTGATGAGAATATGGACCAACTAGAATGCTAATATGTAGTGCTAGTGAGAATATAAAATGGTACAAGCACTTTAGAAAACTGAGTTTCTTATAAATATTCATTTATATGACCCAGAAATTCTATGAAGTCTAACTCAAGAGAAATGAAAATATATGTCCCAAAAGATTTATAACACAAATATATGAAGCAGACATAAATTTTAAACCCAAATGTACATTGATTTGTGAACAAACTATGGTACTGTATATCTGCATAATAGAATATTATTCTGCAATAAAAAGAACAACATAGATGAATCTCAAAGGCATTATACTAAAGAACAGAAATCAAACTAAAATCATTACATACTGCATGATTCCACTAATATAAAATGCTAGTAAAGGCAAAACTGTCATAAAATAAAGCAGATGAGGGATTGCCAGGGTTGGTGGTGTGGGGCACTGGTCTCACTGTCAGGGGACAGATCTTTATGAGGTGATGGAAATACTTGTTTCATGACAGTCATAGCGGTTAGCGACTATATACATTTATCAAAAGTTGTCAAACTACACAACTGAAATTAGTCATCTTTATTGTATATAAAGTATACCTCAATATAGCTGATTAAAAAGAAGAGATTTTAGAGATTTGGCAGTGGGGTTCTGGAAAGGTGGCAACAGTGAACATAGTTTTTCAGTCTCCTTGAATCCCCATATGAACAGAGACAAAGTAACTGGACAGCAAAAGCAGATCTCAGGCACATAACTTACAACAGTAGTTGGCAAAGTATTCCCCATGTACCCCAAAAGAACAGTAGATGAGGGAGATAACAGGAAAAAATTCTAAGTGATCTTGGGTTTGAGAATGACTTTTTTGTTCCACTGAGTTATATTCCTAGCTCCCTTTTTGTCCGTCTGCTTCAGCCTCCCAAGTAGCTGGGAGTATAGGTGTATGCTACTGTACCTAGCTGTTGGTGACTTTTTAAGATATAATGCCAAAAGCATAATCCATAATATAAAAAAATTACTGAACTGTCTTCATTAAAATTTTAAAAACTTATGCTCTACAAAGAACACCATAAAGAGAATAAAGATAAGCCACATAGAGCAAGAAAAATTTTGCAAAACATGTAGTAATTGGCAAAAGACTTTTATCCAAAACATACAAAGAACTTCTAAAACAGTAAGAAAGCTTGAAGTGTAGCTCAGTGATAAGCACTTGCCTCAAATGCATGATGCTCTTGAGTTCAAGCCCCAGCACCACTAACATAATGTAATTATTTCTGAACAGACACCTTACTACACAATATATGCACATGGAATATAAACATGTAAAAGATGCTCAACAAACAGCTCTAGGTGTCATCAAAATATACATCGAACGTTTAAATTTTAAAAATGACAGTGAAAGACACATTGCCAATATCCCTCTTGCTTCAAACACATTTATCCCATCATTCTTGCCACTCTCTGAAGGACTTCTGAAGTCTTCTCTCATGTCTTTATGAGATGTGCACTAGTTGACTGATTATGTCAATTTGAGAAGTTTAGAAGCATAACTAAACTTGGCTCAGCAATTGGCTCAGCAATTCTACACCCTAGGGTGTACAGGAGCCACCCTAGGGTGGATCATCACCTAGATAATATAAAAGGGAAATGAAGAAAGACAGAGGTACTTCCACTCCTTTTGGAGGAGCTCCAGTCTTCACCTTCAGCTTGGACTCAATCTCCTGGCTTCTAGTGCAGACTCTTTGGCTTCTGCCTTGGATCCTTCAGGCTTCCGTCGCAGACTCATCGGCCTCCTGGTATGGACTTGCACGGAACTCTGCAGTGAACTCCAGACCCTGGACTGACTCCTTCGGTCTTCAGTGTGCAGACACCCTCTGCACGCTTCCCCATACAACTCTCTGGCTGACCGTCGTAAGCCAATCTTGTAATTTCTTATAATTTGTACATCCTGTGTTATATCTGTTTCTCCAGTAAAACTCTGACTGATACAAGATGTAATAAAAAATATGATGAATGCTGCTTTTGACCTAACAAAGAGGCAGGATCATAAAAACATTACAGTGTATCCTGATCCACCTCATTCACCAACTCTGGCACACTGGGATGTCTGGCTCTTCCCCAAAGTTAAAATGACCATAAAAAGTAAATGTTTTGAATGGACTCAGGACATCAAGGAAGCTACAACAGCACAACTAAAGTCACCGATGAAAAAAGATTGTAGAGCTGCTTCATCAAGTGGCAAGAACAATAGGATAAGGTGTTCAAAGTGAGGTTAAATAATATGTGAAGGTGATTAATGTGGCTTTTACAGTAATAAATTTAGAAAATTTACACATCCACCATATTTTTTCAATCATATTATGTGTGTGATCAGGAAACTGAAAATTTAACAAGACCCATACCACTATATAGCTAAAGATTTGTTAAAACTCCAAAACCCAGTACTGCCAAATATTGGAAAGAATGTGGAGCGACAATACCTCTCATTTATTGCTGGTGGGAATGCAAAGAAGGTACAGCCACCTTGGAAGACACCCTAGCAGTTTGTCACAAAACTAAATATATTTTTAGCATCTGATCCAGTAATTACAGTCCTATGTATTTACCCAAAGGAGGTGAGCATTTATGTTCATACAAAAATCTGCACATGAATGTTCATAGAAGCTTTATTCATAACTGCCAAAACAGGGTCAACCACAAAGTCCTTCAAAGTGAATGGATAAACTGACTCACACTGACAACGGGCTATACTATGTACGTATCAAGCCATGAAAAAACATGGAAAACTTAAATGCACATTACTAAGGAAAGAAATAACCTGAAAAGGATGAGTTCTGTACGGCTCCAACTGAATATTCTGGAAAACAGAAAAGAGCAGTGGTTGCCAGGAGTTTACAGGGAGGGAGAAGGGTGAAAAGGTGTTAACACAGAAGATGTTTAAGGCAGTGGAACTACTCTGAATGACACTGTACTGGTAGATGCAAACTCTACACAGTTGTCAAAATCCACCTGACTATACAGCTGCGAGAGAACCTTAATTAAACTAAGACTCTGGTTAATAATAACGTACTAACATTGGTTCTTCAAGTGTTACAAATATACCACACTAATGTGAGATGTCAAGAATAGGAAAAATAGGAAAAGGGCAGTGAGGTGTTTTATGGGAACTGTCTATACTTCCTGCAAATCTAAAACTGCTCTAAGAATCAAAATCCATTAATGTAAAAAAAGAAGAGCAGATGAGCAAACCCCACTCCATGAGCACAAGAGCTACTCAGTGCTGCCTCAGGCCTCAGTCCTGGACAGCAGAGGAAAGCAATGGAGCAGCCCTTGACCCAGAGCAAACAGAGCCCACCGGTGGTCAGGAAAACACACAGGCCTGTAGGACAAGGCAGCCCCACCACCAAGGCTCTTGCAGCTCAGACTTCCCTCCAGCCACAAGAGCAAGAAGGAAGGAAAGGGCTGGAGAGGAGAAGGGAAGGGAGCCAGAAGATCTCAAATGCTATCGCACTGTTTTGTTTTTTCACACAACACATAAATGACAGAAATGAGAACTCTGAAATGCGAAAGTTATCCTGATGTATGGTTTCTCAAATAAATTTTATTTAGCAAAATAAATTTTATCTAAAAATGAGCAATAGTAAGGTACCAAGGTCAAATCCCATATCAATTAATAATAAAAATAAAGGGGCTGGGGATTTAGCTCAGAGGCACAGTGCCTGCCTGGCAAGCACGAGGTCATGAGTTCAATTCCCCAGTCCCGGAAACCAACCCCTCCCCCCCGCAAAAAAAATATATAAATAAAATAATAAAGAATAAAAAACAGTGCCTAGAGATAATGAAAACCATTTGAAAGATGCATCTACAACCAGGCACCCCTGGGTCCAATCCCCACTACTGCCAAAATAAAAACAAAAAACAATGCCTTTTAGCTTTTTAAATGATATGTGACATTTAAAAATAACACAAATTGAGGCCTGGCGTGTAGCTCAGTGGTACAGCACAGTGTGCTTAACACACAAGGCCCTGAGGTCAATCCCTACACCTCTATCTCCCCAGAAAAGAAAGACTTAAATAAGAAATAGAAAAACTTAGAAATGTGGTGCTAAAACTCAGAAAAATTAAATAAAAAATTAATTTTAAAAATTAAATTAAAATTAATAGTTAGAAATCAAAGAAAAATTATTTCAATAAAAACTAATGGACTGAAATGGTGCTCATCCCCCCAAAATACACATGCACATCCTAATTCCCAAGGTCACTGTGACCTTATTTTTAAAAGGGTCTTTTCAGATGTAATTAACAATCTCCAGACAAAAAGACTGTTCTGGTTATCCGACAGCTTTCTCTCCAGTAAGGAGCATCCTCACAAGGGACAGGACAGAAGAGGAAGAGGTGACGTGACAAAGACAGAGGCTGGAGAGAGATGGCTACATGCTGAGGGCTGCCAAGCCACACCTGCAGACAACAGAGGCCAGAAGAGGCAAGGACCGGGCTGTTTCCTGGAGGCTCCCAGCACAGCCCTCCCAACGCCTCTGGAGTTGGGAGAAAAGAAATCGGTGTCATTTTAAGTCACCAACAGGGGTGATTTGTTACAGTGTGCTACAGCAGCCACGTAGTAGACAATGCATTAAAGGAAAAAGGCAAAAAAGTTTAAATTCAGAAATGTAGAAATTAATAAACAAGATCTGAAAGAAAATGACTTTTAACTCAGCAATTCTGATTCTCAAAACGTTTGGAAAACATTCAGCTACTCACTTCATTATTTTTAACAGAGTTAACTTTCTTTTTTTGTTTTTGTTTTTTGGTTTTTGAGACAGGGCCTCACTATTTATTCCAGGCTGGCCTCAAATCTGTGGTAGTCCTCCTGCCTCAGCCTTCCCAGTGCTCGGATTATAGGAATGCGCCACCATCCATTTTCAATAGCCTCCAAACAGAAACAAATTTTTTCTGAAAATATAACTGAAAAAAACTCTAAACTGAGATCAATTTACCTGATTTGATTTTGCTCTCATATAAACTGAAGTTCTGAAAAAAGGTACCTTACAAGGCTCCATTCCTGTTACTAAATTAATAATAGTATGCTGACTACTGGAAATTGTACCAAAATTCTCCTTAAAAATTTACTTATTAGAATGACCCTTAACCACTGGACAAAAGTATCTTAACAGAACTTACTTTAATATATCCAAACGCTGGTAGAGCTTGGTTGGATAATTTCCTTGGCATATCCATTTCCGGATTAATATGGTGTCGGTCAGGGCAGATCCTTTTGTCTCTGAAAAATAAAGACTAGGTTTATTATGGTGGTGGTGGTGATTGTGTGGAGCCTTAAACATGCTAGACAAAGGCTCTACCACTGAGCTACACACCTAGCCCCCCTAGATTTCAAAGCCAGGAGAAATAGTAACAGTTAATGTGAATTCTGAAACGTTCTTCAAAACTTAATCTGCAGCTGAAATGAAAGAACTTTTATTCGAAACATCTTAAGCAACTACATCAAGTACTTCAGATGACACTAACAAAATATAAATATACAAATAAGTGGAAAAGGGTTATGTGAACTAACAAAACATACCTCAAAAACTAAAGACTCAGCAACATATTATCATAATCCAAAATACAGGCCAATTAACCTCTGAACTAGAAGCCACTCCTTAAATATAATGTTATCTCCAAACTGAGAAACAGTTAAAGTTCCAGTTTTAAAAGTTAATATTAAAAAATTAGTATTAAAAAATTTTATATTTTACATATCAGGGGCAGGGGGTTTAGCTCAGCAGCACAGTGCCCACCTGGCAAGCACAAGGTCGTGAGTTCGATTCCTGGTACTGGAAAGAAACCCAAAACTCCCCCCTAAAAAAATAAAATAAAAAATAAATTTTACATATATACAGTGATACCACAATTCACAAACTCACTTCTCTCCACAATTCTGGCTATAAATAGAACTCAACAAGAACCAAGTCAAATTTTCCCTTAAGTACAAAACACTGAAGCTAACCATTCAATGTGATTCAGTTCTCTTCCAACTTGATTTGTGAACAAAATTGTGGAAAAAATCAAATTCATGAATGAGGTTTTCTTTTTTCTCTTTTCTTTCTTTCTTTCTTTCTTTCTTTCTTTCTTTCTTTCTTTCTTTCTTTCTTTTCCTTCCTTCCTTCCTTCCTTCCTTCCTTCCTTCCCTCCTTTCTTCCCTCCTTCCTATCCATCCATCCAGCCATCCCTCCCTCCCTCCCTCCCTCCAGGGCCTTGCTATCGAGTCCAGACTGGCCTTGAACTTGATATTCAGCCCAGGTCTGCTTTGAACTCACAATCTTCCTGCCTCAGTCTGCCAAATGCTAGGATTACATGTGTGTGCCACTATGTCTGGCTGCCTTCCCTTCTTCCTTTCTTCTTGTTCTCCCTCTCCCTCTCCCCCTCCCCCTCCCCCCTCCTCTTAATATGGGTACTGGGAATCAAACCTGAGCTTGCCAGGCAGGTGCTGCACCACTGAGCAATATCTCTGGCCTACAACATTCTATTTAAAAGCATAAATAAAACTGCTGTTAATAAGCTATTTAATGTATCATACAAAACAATTAATGTCAATAGTTATCTTAAATTCAATCCAGGAGATGTTATTAGACACCTACACACCAGCTGTCCATTTACCAAGTAGTGGCATCATGTGTAGAGTGCCCCCACAACTGTTCAGGTACCCATGCCCTCCAAACTGATCTATAGCATTCATGTAGTCTCTTACCACAATTCTGGTAGGATCTTTGGAGAAATTAACAGTTTATTCTATGGCTAAAGATTTTAAATAACCAAAACAACCTCACACAGAGGCAAAGTTAGAGGGATTCCATGCCAGATCTCAAGACTCATTATAAAACTACAATGCTTAAAGTGTCGTGTTGGTAGAAGAGACAAATGGAACAATGCAGCAAAACAGACCACATATCTTACCACCTGGTTGATGGAACAGATAATGATCTATGCACAAAAGGGCAAACCTTGCCCCATACCTCAGACTATACATGCACATGAGCACTCAAAGTTTCAGATTTCACAGCACTTCAGATTTTAGGATTATGGTTGATTGCCACCACAAGATTACATAAGTACATTGTGATATATTCATATGATGAGTTATATTCACAAAATAGATAAAACAGATACACACAATACAGATGAATTTCACAGATATTAGACTAAAAGAAACATGAGTACACTATAATTTCATTATATGTTAATAAATGAGCAGAAGTATAAAATATGGGATCAGCCTGGGTGCCCACCAACAAATAAATGGGTAAAGAAAATATGGCCTACACACACAATGGAGTACAATTCAGCTGTGCACAAAAATGAAATCCTATTATCTCCATCAAAATGGATGCATTTAGAAGACATTATGTTTAATGAAATAATCTAGAAAGACCAGTACTTGATGTTCTCGTTCATATGTGGGAGCCAGAAAAATTGAACTTGACAGTAGATTAGTGATTGAGTGAGGGGGGTGGGTACAGGAGTGGGGTAGGAAAAAAGGAGGGTTAGATTTTATCAGTACACTGTATATGCAGGTAGGTAAATAGCACACCAATTCCTATTAACATATACAGTTAAGGTGTGTTAATAAAAAATTGGAGGGTAAAGGAGCAAAATCTATCAGGGTTGACAGTGACAGAGGGTAGTTACTGCTGGATAGGGCACATCACGCAGAGTGTGCAGGAATCTCTGTGTGCTCCCAGAGCTGGGTGCTTGTTAGCAAGGATGCACAGAGGTGACCCTTCATCAAGTTGTAAAATTATCATCTGTGTATTTTACTGCATGTTACACCTCAACTTAAAAATAATATGGGCTTACTTGCAAAAGCCAAAAGCTTTAAGATATGGACAAAGAGATCGTCTGGCCTTCTTATCTTCTTTGGCTTCCAGAACTCCAGCAGTAAACTCATATAGCTCCAATGGGATTTTGGCATCTGCTCGCTCCAAGTAGCGCAGGACACCAACTGCCTGGCCCGCATTTTTCTCCGTCAGCAACAAGACAGACTTGGGTTTTTTATCTCCCTGCTCTGCAGGAGAACCCTTAAATCGGGGTGACAAAGGAAGTAATCATCTTTTCCAGTCTCAATGAAACTTTATGGCATCTGAATTTGTTATTACACAGAAAATGACAGTGAAACACTGAAGGTAACAAAACTTGATCAAACCTGTTCAGTTAAACTCTCAAAGTGATCAGACATGCAATACAGGCGTCCACCAAAAAATTTTGGCGAAGAAGGGAAGCTGAAGTGAATCACACGTGTGGCATCGGTGATGGCCAGGAGTGGTATGCAGTCATCAGTTAAAGCTGGAGGAAAGGATTCCGACAAGTGTCCATGAGTGGGCTTTTGGCACTTTAATGAGCAGTCCCAATAATCATGCTGCACTGCATTTCTGCACTCCATTTTATATTTTCGGGTACTGGAGAAGGAACCAGGGCTTCAAGCATTTTAGGGAAGCCTGAAGCTGTACCATTATACCCACTAGCCCTACATTTTAGATGCAAAGAAACTTCTTCTCCCCCTTTTTTTTTTCCAAAAATGCCACATCCCAGTACTTAAATTCCAGAGAAAAATAGCCCCCTTTTTGAGAAAAATGCTTTCCTATGACAAATCCAGGCCACCTATGTGTTTTTCACTTATTTTCTATATTTTGGCTTTACATTTCTATTATAACCATAATTCAGTGTAGGCAATGGTGCACAGATACAGACTCAGTGGGCTATGTACATACAGACTTTAGATATACCACAGTGATCTCCAGCTAGAACCCCAGGGAAAGCAGCCGGACTACCAGTTGCTGCCTACAGCCCTGAGAGCCCTAGAGGCGTCTAGAGTCACCTCAGCTGGAAATTAATTTCATTTTGAGAAATAATGAGAAATCTGGTGACACATAAATGAAGACTATTAGTTCAGCCTTATCTAAATGTAAGTAGAAATTAAAATATTTACCTAATACAATGTCAGAGCCAGAATTTAACTTCTTCCACTGTTCTAAAACACTTTTTAAGTCAAAAGCCATTTCTTTATGCATTTTCAAGCAAAATATTGAATTGCTTTCTACCACCTGAAGACAAAACCAAAAGAAGTTCACAATAGGGAACACAAGCTTGAAGCCAACTATTCCATGAGTAATTATTAATGTAGATTACTTTATTTTTTGTTTGTTTTGAGACAGAGTCTCACTATGTAGCCCAGGCTGGCCCTGACCTCACAGAGCTCCTCCTGGCTCAGCCTCCAAACACTGGGATTACAGGCATGCCCCACTATGCTCTGTGAATGACTTTAAATTACCGAGGAGGGCATTAACTCATGGACCCAGTAATTCTTGAGAATGAAATGACTATCAATTTAAATGCATCTCCAAAGTTTTCTAAGCTTTATCTAGCAACTTGCTTAATGAAATAATCATTTTGCTAAAACTGTTTCCCTACCTTTTAAAATTATAAAAAAATAAAATACATACATATGTATGTGTATAGTTTGTATAAGTAGGTATAGGTCAAATATACAGTACTACTGTCCACAAGGGCATTATATTTGTATCTTCTTTCCAGGTTATTCTTGAAGAAAAAAAAAAGAGGCATTACTGATTCTTTTATTTTGCATTTGGCGTTGGCTCTACATCTGCATTAATGGATACAAAATTGGAGTTTTTAGCCAATTTCTTTTGCTATTCCAGCTCAGATAGTATCTTACTGTTATCTTCTCAATCTTAGCTAGAGGATAGAAGATACGGGCACTTCTGCACTTACGTCCTTTCACGCTCCACAATGACAAGGTCACCCAGCACTGCTCCCTGGGGAGCCTGCATCTTGGAAAAAGCTGGGACCCTGTGTGGTTCCTCCCCAAGAGCCAGGCCTCCTGCTCTCAGCACTTTTGGCAGAGCCTGCCTCCTCTTCTAACTGATGTGAAACTTGGGAAACTATCTTTGCCACATATTCAATCACTCTAGTAATTTTCTGGTCACTTAAGACTCAGCCACAGTTTAAACAAAAATGTCTTTATGGGTGGATGTGCTCACCTTAGACACTATTTCTGTTTCAGCTACAGAGCAGGTGAAGATCAAGGTCTTTTGTGCCCGACTTGGAATGAAATCAAGAACCTGGAGTAAAGTAGAGGTTTTTTCACATTCTAGGCAAAGATGTACCACCTGGTAATAGATACAAGGTGACATATATTTAGAGTGCTGCAGTTTCACTTTTCATGGCTAAGTTATAGAAACACAGGTAACTTCCTTGTGCTCATCAGCTGCTGCCCCTCTCATCACCTGCTGGACGTTCCCGTAGAGAGCAGCCTCCTCTGGGGCTGTGATCACAACGTAGGGATCACTCATGAACTCTCTCATCAGGTGCTCTATATGTCTGTTCCAGTGAACGCCAACTGCAATGATCTGACGTGGTGCACTCTCCCTTTCTTCCATTTTCACATTTTTCTTAAAGTTATCTAAGATAGCAAACACCTAAAAAATTAGCATAAATTTCATATTTACTTAAGAAGAGGGTAAGAATTGGTTTGACAACATAAAATGTAAAGAATTATGTATTTTCTATTTCCAGAGTGGGGAAAGCCTTTCTGAAAAAAGGGAACAACTAAAAGAAAATGCTTAAAGTCAATAAACAACATAAAACTGCAGGATAAAAAGGATTAAAGCATTAAAGTATCCTGATAAATATGTGTAACACATCTAACAGGGGTTAAAGTTCTCACATTTAAAATTTCAAAAACTGATTCGGAAAAAATTACCAATAAAACAAAATAAGGAAACAAGTAAATCACAGGGAAACAGAGTGATCAATATGAATTAATGTTCAACTTATGTAATCGAAGAAATACAAACTACACTAATGAGATCTCACTTGTTTATCAGCCTGGGAAAGAGAGCCAGGCAAGGGCCTCTTGCTGGTAGGAGGGTGGTAGCCCTACCAAAACACACAGGAATTTTTCTTTAATATGAAAATACTCCAAAAGAGAGTGGTTACCTCTGAGTGTAAGATTAGAGGTGTTGGATTTTTTTCAAACGTTTGTATTTCTCAAATTCTTAAAAATACAAATGTTTCTATAAAAGTATTAAATATTTCTGCAAACTTTCCTGAGAGAATATGAATACTAGGAAGGCAATTTCAGATAAACATTCTCTCTTCTAAATTACAGAAATTAAAAGAAAAAAATTTGGGGAGGGGGGTATCAACCAGTTTACTCCGAAGTAGAGACTTCCCTGATTCCTGAAAGCAGTTGAGACATGTATTTCAGAAACATATATTCTGAATAGTAATGAATCCAAATGGATATTGTACTTACTTGTTCATTAGCTTCAGAAAATAGTATTTCCACCTCATCCAAAACCAGGTGACAGAGTCTAAGAAATAACAAGCTCTGGTATGCAAGAAGTCTCAGGAGGCTATGTGGTGTTGTGACTATCACATCACCTGCATTTTAAAATATTAAAAAGCATTGAACAGTTCAGATTTTCCAAAGGATTTCCAACATTTCCTTTGCTAAGATAGCACATACTTTTTAGAAGCTGTTTCGCTATTCTGGTAGGTGAGGCAACCCCCCACCCCTACCTCCACTTCCAATCCCTGGGCCCTTGCCAGGTTCTGTGCTCCTGGAAGGCAGAAGGATTTTAGGCAAGTGAGTGCCCAGCATCTAACAAACAGCAAGTGGTCAGTGGATAATTGACAAATGAATCAAATCATGTAGTTTTATCAGTGAAATAGATACAGGTCCAGATTGAATTTTCATCACTGATACTCATCAGTAACTGACAAGCAAGGTCTGGACTAGTGACCACCAGCTGCAGCACCACACAAGCTGGATCATCTGTGATCCCAGAGTTCTGCTGTCTTCTGTAGGGAAACCAAACAGCTAGGAAAGGATGCTTACACCCCCTTGGAAGCTTCATGTTTTTGGCTTCATCTTTGTGAAGTCCAATTGTTAAGAACATAGGATGAAGAGGCCTGGAGGTCATGCTGTAGTCTCCCAACAATTCAAAAGTTAATTGGGCCTTTTTCCACCCAGGGCACACGATTATTACAAGAGGCTGCAAAGACAAATTCACATCATTTTGGACAGTAGTTAGGAATCGAACATAGTATATAAGGTGTGACTGAAAACCACAGTGAAATGTTTAAATTTTAAAAACATTACAGTAAAAGACACAGTGATGGCAGTCCCCCTTAAAATACTCCCCTCTCATTTCAAACATACTTCTCCCATCACCCCTACCATTTCTGAAGCAATTCTGGAAGTCCTTTTTCATGTCTTTAAAAGGCGTCACAAAAAATATGTCACTGTCAAGTGCCATCTGACAGAAAGGCAGCCTTGTAGAAACATTATGGCGAGTCCTTATCCCCCAGATCTGGCATCATACAGCCTTTGGCCCTTCCACAAAGTCAAAATGGATGTTAAGGCGGCCAAGACAGTGCAATTAAAGACACAAAAGAAGACTTTCAGAACGTCTTCAGAAAGTGGCAAGAACAATAGGGTAAATGCGTTCAAAGAAAGCAGTATTTTGAGGGAGATTAACGGCAATTCATCTTCTACTGTAAAACATTTTTTAAAATTTAAAAACACGGGCTGAAGTCCCATCCAGTGTGCAGGGAGCGGCACTAGGAGCAGACGCCGCCCATAGCTGTGGTCTCCTTCATTCTGCAGACCACGCCGAGGCCTCACTGCCAGGAAGCTGCAGTCTGCGGCTCTGCACGGGGTGGGCTCAGAAAGAAAAATTTGACACCTCGCATCCCGGCAGTTCATTGAGAAGTCTGAAATTAGGGATTTCTTTCAAATTTGGACATGGCTAATCAAGGAGCAATGAGAACTAACGGGCCAAATACTGGAAATAAAACATGCCAGTTCAAACTAGTACTTCTGGGAGAGTCTGCTGTTGGCAAATCAAGCCTAGTGCTTCATTTTGTGGAAGGCCAGTTTCATGAATTTCAAGAGAGTACCATTAGGGCTGCTTTTCTAACCCAGACTGTGTGCCTTGATGACACAACAGTAAAATTTGAAATATGGGATACAGCTGGTCAGGAAAGATACCACAGCCTAGCACCAATGTCCTACAGAGGACCACAAGCAGCCATAGTTGCATATGATACCACAAATGAGGAATCTTTTCCAAGAGCAAAAAATTGGGTTAAAGAACTTCAGAAGCAAGGAAGTCCTAACGTTGTAATAGCTTTATCAGGAAACAAGGCTGATCTAGCAAATAAAAGAGCGTAGATTTCCAGGAAGCACAGTCCTATGCAGATGACAACAGTTTATTATTCATGGAAACATCAGCTAAAAACACCGTATTTTTTGATCCACCTCATATGTTAAACTTCTAGGATAGCTCCTTGTATAGAAAAACCACTATGTTAAATTTTGGCTACCGTTACGTAAGTGGAAAAGCATAATTTCAGTAAGATTGATTTAGACACACTTAGCTAGGTTTTTCTAGGACTTACACTAAATACCTCACAAACACTACGTTATTTAGTTTTTAAAACACTTACAGGGTAGGGTCCATTTCATGGTCCATGAGGAGTCTGAGGCACAGAGAAATTGGTTGCCCAGGGCTGCACAGCTACCACATGGTGACAAAAGAATGAACCTAAGTCTAGATTTCCCATTCTTAGGCATGATGATCACCTCACTGCCTCCCACAAGGGGCCTTAAAAGGCTAACACCTCTCTCTTTTAGGAAATTACCTCTGAACCCTGCCCTCCACTAGCCCACTGATTCTCCTGGAAGAGCACTGCATGCCAGAAACCCTCATGAACACATGCTTTCTATTAACTGAACATAAGCCTAATGTCTTCTTTCCTTCAGGCAGTTCCAGTGACTACCAGCTGCCAGGCACAGGCCTGAAGGCAGGCTGACCATGGAGGAATGGAATCAGTCAGGGAGGCATGGGAGGTAAGGCCTGGCATCCTTCCCTGTGCCCAGCCAGGGTTCTACCTCCACACAAGTTGCACCTCATCAGCAGAAGTCAATTTGAGGAGTATAGATGCATTCATTTAATTTGATAAAACCAATACAGAGCCAGGCATGGTGGTGCACGCCGGCAATCCCAGCACTGGGGAGGCTGAGGCAAGAGGATCATTGTAAGTTCAAGGCCAGCCTGAGCTACAAGCTGAGTTCAAGACCAGCCTAAACTACACAGTGAGACACTGTCTCAAAACGGTAAACAAAACAAAACAAAAAAACTAGAGTAACTAGAGTAAATTCCAAAGGAAACTTCAAAGGTGTAACATAATCAGAAAAATGATGTTTTCTAATTGCAACTCTAAGCATGTTTTCCTGTAACTGTTTCTCCTTTTCATGTGAATCTGTAGTGCATCCTTTGTGCTAGGACCTGGGATGGAGACTTTATACCCATCAGTTCTGAGAGCCAAAGTGAACGTCACTACCCACTACCATCTGGTCCTCATTCCCCATTTTGCTCCTTTCTGTTATCTTCTCCGTTATTTTCAGATTCTTACACATGGAGAAGGTAGGATTATGAAACACTGTGGGGTACTATAAAGAAATTTAAAGAATATGCAACAAAGACAACTAAAACTGAACTTCTAATCCCACTTCTACCTCTTGTCAAGAATTAAACTGTCAGGTTGTTAAAAATTCATCCCAGTAGATTTTTATGAACTGAATTTTCTCATGTTTAAAATGGGGAAAAGACATCAATGATCTAGAAGTGTGTTTCACTGGTATAATCATTTGGCTTCTATCTTTATCCCTTCCCTAGGGTTAGAGGATGTCACGCAACACATTGAGGCCTGAAGTAACTATACTCAGCGGGTCTTAAACGATACTGCTTCTGGTCTCTCTCTCCTGAATGAAGAAGTAAAATTAATGAGGGAAGCCATCTTCCAAAATCAGATGGCATTAGACATTCTAACAGCAGCACATGGGGGTACTTGTGCAATTATAAAAGCTGAATATTGAGTGTATGTTCTTGATCCTTCTATAATATCTCAATACCTGTGCAAGATATTATATAGCAGGTTAATGACATGTCAGATTCTGAAATTTCCTGGACTTTCTCTTTATCCTCTTTATGGAAAGCTATAACTGGTTCTTCCTGGTGGAAAACTTTGTTGGCTATATTTATAATTATCCTATTGATTTTATTATTTGACCTATGCATACTTAATTGCTTCTGTGGCCTTGTCTCCTCCAGACTTAAAGCTGTACCTCTACCCAAGACAAGAACACCTGGCACCTATCAAGGGTCTTTATACAGACCCTCTGTGGAGTACCTCTGACTGCTGATCGCAACTATGACCCTCTTCAGCTGAAAGTAGCCAGATCCCTTTTTTGACCCTTTGACCCCTCAAGGACTACTTCTTCAGAGGGAGAATATTATAGATAGCTAAGTTAGGTAGGACTGGGCCCTTGAGAGGTCAATGCAGAAGACAACTGTGGTTGGAGGACTATTCACTGAAGGCCAGGCTTCAAGAAAAAGAACTACTCATCCATATACTTCCCCTTGGGATGAACAGCAGTGACTGATATTTTAAATAGCTATCAATCACCTTAGGGTGGAGGATCAAACCTCCTTAACCCACCCCTTCCAGGAAAGTCTTTGCCCATGTGTGCTTGCAGCAAGACTTGTTTTCCTATTTGATCTCCGTTTAATCAATATTACCCAAGCAACTATACTTGTGTACTTATTGCTTGACCATAGTTTTGTCCCACCTCACACCCATCCTATGGTTTGTCATTGGATCAATACTACCTAAGTGACTATACTTGTAACCTTATTGATTGGTTATAGTTCTGCCCCACCTTAAGCCCACCTCACCTCATGGCTTTGCTCAATAAACACCCTTGAGAAGCAGGTTTGGTGGGCAACCCACTTTCTACGCCCCTTCTGTCCCTTTCAGGCAGAAGCTTTCTTTCTCTCAATAAATTCTTTGTACTCTTAAAAAAATAAATAAAATAGAACAAGGAGAATACAACCTATCTTACACGGTTGCCATGACAGTTGCATGAAGTAAGGTCAGTGACATCATTTTATAAGCTCTATGCTCTTCTCTAAAAACCAGAGCTCTTCTACCCAGCCCATGGCCCACAACTGGGACTCAGGGTGAAGACTGGTGACCAGGAGAAGGGAAGGGCTAACACTCTCACAGGACAGCTTTTGTCCTGGCAATCTGGAAACCAAACTGAGTAAGATGACCTGAATTTACCAAAGCATAGGTATACAATTTTAAAATAAGTACTTAATCCATTTTGTTGTGAAATAAAACTGTCAACTTACTCCGTTTCTACTTGGTAATGACTTGTAGCAGCCCCCCATTTGTAACATGGTAAGCAATGGTGGGAGGTACAACAAAGGGTCATTTCCACAGTGAGAGATGACAACCACATCACAACCACGTGCTATGGGAGGCCAAGAGTAAGATTCAGTGTGGCTCGGTCCTGGGAACTTCTTTCTCTGAAGAGTCTACAAAAGATAAATCAACAACCAAAATTACCAGAAAGCAGAAGACAAAAACTCCACTCACTGCTCCCTTTACTCCAACTACCAGTATGTAGCAGAGAGGTTCCAAGACTGAACTTGGTAAGTCTCAGGAATCTTTTCTCCATACCAAACTCCTACTTTATGACTTTTTCTGGGCCTCAAAATAAAAAGGTCCAATAGGTAGTCCACTGATCAGATGATTAAAGCTCACTATGACATAGTTTCTTGTTTATTCTCCTGATAGTTTGCCAATCCAACAGCCTCACTTGTAAAGCTTTGTTAAAAACATGATTTTACTTACATTTTTCTGTTACTGTTACTAAAACCCAAATGTTCCACTAGAGTTCGCTAACCACACATACTATTTCCCAAAAGCCTGAGCTCATCAGCACCTCTGTCTCTGTGACATCTTCTGCCACAGAGTCGTAAACCTTGGCTGTAATGGGACAGCTTATTCTCTGCTGCTGACGCAGGAGCTTCCTCTGTCTGCAACTCTGCAGTCTTCTTTCTTGGTATGCTTTGTTTTGTGGAGAAGATATTTCTGTAGCTTCTTCACAAAGGGTACAAGGGAGGTCCTCTGAGACCCTACTTATGTAAAAATATCTTCACTGTACTCTCACACCTCACTGGTTTGTGAGTCTAGACCAGAAAGCTAAAATAGCTTCTCATCAGAGTGCTAAAGTCCATGCTGCTCAGATGTTGCTGTGGAGAAGTGTGACACCACACTGGCTTCTAGACTCATGTGTGAGACTGTCTCTTCTTCCAGATGCTTCCAGGTCTCTGAAGCCCTAAGATTAGCTGCTTCACAGCCGTGTATCTCGTATCTATTCCTCTAATATCTGTTCATCAGTTGTGCTGTCTGCAGATACGGACTCTGATGGTAGAAACTCATCGTATCCATTAGGTCCAGAAAATGTTCAAGTGACACTCCCTAGAGAATTATCTACTGTTTCTCTTCAGTCTTTCTAGAAATTCCTTTTTCAGATATTGAATCTCAAATGGAGCCTCAGATTCATTTCCCCCCCTTTCCATCTCTCTTTTTGTTTTCTACGAACTATTCTCAAACCTGCCATTTTTAAAAAACCTGCCACTTAATGTTTAAAATTTCTATATTATTTTGAATTTCTTTTATTTTCTGTTTCTTTTCTTTATAGTAGTATACATGTAATTGTTATCAGATTTTGGGGTTTTTTTGTGAAACAGGCTCTCATTATATAGTGCAGACTGACCTTGAACTCACTTGTGCAGCCCAGGCTGACTTCAAACTCACAGTTATCCACCTCCTCAGCCTCCTGAGTGCTGGGATTACAGGTATGCGCCACCACACCTGGCTTATAACTGTTGTTGTTAAATGAACGCAGTATCTTTTCTTATCACTGAGATTTGAGGGGGCAGTACTCGGGATTAAACCCAGGGTCTTCATACTGAGCTATATCCATGGTCCTTTTTATTTTTGAGACAGATTCTTGCTAAGTCACTAAGCTGCCCAGGGTAGACTTCAACTTGCAATCTTCCTGCCTCAGCTTCCCAAGTAGCTGGAACTACAGGCACACGCTACTGTACCTGGAAATACTTACTTTTTAACATTCTCTTCTATTCCAGCACTGTTTCCTTCAGAATTTGTTCTGGTCTCATTCATTCATTTTTGAGACACAGTCTCCCTATGTCATACAGGCTGGCCTTGAACTCACTATGCAGTCCAGGCTGCCCTCAAACTCATGGCAATCCTTCTGCCTCAGTCTCCCCAGTGCTGGGATTATAGGTGAGCAGCACCATGCCCGCCTTTTTCTTTTTTTTAATGCAAAGTTTTTCTTCACACATCTGGTTCCTGACATCTGTTCATATTAAAGAGAAAAACACTAAAACCTGACCACAAGCTTTGTGGACAGGTAAGCCCTGCGACTATGTAAATGTCACATCACTGCTGGAATACAAGACACCAAGCAGGTACTTTTACTGGAGAATTTTAAACAGTATATGTATTAGTCAGCTTTTTGTCACTATAACCAAATTCCTGAGAAAACCACTCAAAAGAGGAAAGACTCATCTTGGCTCACAGTTTCAGAGGTTTTCAGTCCATGACTGGCTGGTTCCACTGCTATAGACCTGAGGTGAGGTGGAACATCAGTGCAGAAGGGCATGGTGGAGCCAAGGTGCTCTTCTATGGCAGCCAGGCAGGAAACAAAAAGGGAAAGAGCCAGAGAAGAGGCTGGGGACCAGGACTAGTCCCCAAGGTCACGCCTCTATGATTTACTGCCAGCTAGGCCCCACCTCCTGTTTCCATCACCTCCCAATAGTGCCATCAAACTAGGATCTCACTGATGAAGCCCAGTAACCTCTCTAGGGCCACTCCTGAACACTGCTGCATGGTGCATTAAGACCTCAATACAGGCATTTTTGAGGGACATTTCATAAATAAACCATGAACAGCATTCTTCAAGGTTATTCCTCTAGGGCCATCAACTTTTCCAGGAAATCCTTCAATCATCTTCGGCAGAACATGTAGAACAATACAAGGATGTTGTGTGTTCCATTTCCTAAAAACCTGTAGAAATCTCTTGCCCATGAAGACTTCTTTTTGTTCATCCTTGTGATTTTTATCTTCCTATCTTTAAACACAGTTTTAACCTTTTTCTAATCAGAAAGGAAACAGAGAAGACGTATGATCAATTTACCAAGTGAAACCAGAGATCTATGAAGCAATTTTGGAAAGAATGGCTAAGAATTATACCATAGTTGCCCTGGCAACTTGCTGCTTCTTCTGAGCCCCTTTTTCAAAGGCACACTTGAAAACTTATTTCAGAAGAGGATTTTCAATTATATAACGGCTTCTCCACAAAAGAATTACATATTTATAAGATGTTAACCTGTACTTAATAAATAAGAAAGTAGCAACAAAAGCTTAGGAGAATTTTAAAAGCAAAGAAACTATACAACACAGCCTCAGAACTGTTTATTAAAAAAAAATCTATCGGCTGAAAGTGTGGCTAAGTGGTAGAGCACTTGCCCAGTACACACAAGGCCCTGGGTTCAGTCTCTAGTACCACACACATACACACACACACACACACACACACACACACTGCTCTGTTAGAAAATGTCAGCATTTCTCCATGAGTTTGGATTTCAGAGCATGGTCACCTTTTTCAGGTCTTCAGACAATGGTGAACTATCAATGGTCAGGCAGGGTTCAATCTTGTTCCGGAGGACCATGACAGGCTGCTGCATGCCTGACTTCAGCTTCTGCAACTAAGTAGTACAGAAATCAGACCACCAGTATCTGCCCTGAGCCATTAGCATAGAGTACCAAGAACTTTACACAGAAGAAAATACAAGATATTTATATGAAAACCTAGGTATGTATGATTCCTGAAAAACACCAAAACTACCAAAATACGATCATCCAACCAAATAAAAAATATTTCTCTCATGCAGTAAGTCACTAGATAATTTTTAAAGATGTCTTTACACAAAGTTCCCTACCTAAGGAGTTTCTCTTCTAATCTCAAGACTGGAAGGAAGAAAAAGGATTTTAAAAAAAAAGAGCTTTCTGTACTACTTAACTTTTTGTAGGACTTGTAATACCTGCTGCAGATCAGAGATTCCACCAGCTCTCAAAGGATCAGGGTTTAAAAACTGCAGTAATCTGTAAAATTGTTAAAAGAACAATTTGAAAAGTATGTTTCCTCAACTGAGCTATTAATTCAATTCTCCCTCTTGACACAGGTTTAATGGACTATATATCCTAAGGTATAGCTATCAAAGAACTGTGTTCTGTTTTTCTTGGTTTCTTAAGAAATGAAGGTCATGTTGGTCAGATCAATTTTGTGTTTCCCAAGCCTGGACCTATGTCTGGGCTGTACCATGCTACCTCCCATGTCTTGCATAATAGTGAAAGGAGGCCCAGCCAAGTTTAGGGAGCATGGAGCTTGGTCTTCTTCATTAGTTTTATTTTATAGATGACAAAACAAGACTCAGTTGCATATGAAGGTACTCACCAGTAATACTAGCTACTTAGGAGGCTTTGAGAGGACCAAATTTAAAGCCAGATGACTTAGGAAGACCCACGCTCAAAATAAAACTTAAAGAGCTGGAACTATAGCTTAGTAGTAGAGCACATATACAAGGATCAAGGTTTAACTTTCAGCATTGAAAACACAAACAAAACCCAGAAAATAAAGAAATACCACAAGACTAAAAGGACTTGTCCCATACCACTTCTGCTAATTCATACCCAATACCAATATAAGTAAGGTCTGCTGAGAACTCACAAACCATTTTCAGTACAGTACTTAGGGAGAAAGATGGTGGATTAAATACCCAAGTCAAATTGCACTGTTTTCTGAAACCCCATCCCTACAAATGGAATTTTTAACGCTAAAACAGCAAGACCCAAGTGTTTATCAACTAAAGAATGAACAAATATAATGTGCTCTATCTACACAATGGCATATTCACCATAAAAAAGAACGGCATAAACATTTGTGGGCAACAGAGATGAATTCTGAAGTTTTGCTAAGTGAAAGCCAGTGCAACAAACTTCTCCAGGACACTGAGTAGTGCACCACCTTCCCCTCCAGAGCTAGGAAGCAATGCTCAAAGTAAGGACCAGACACTCAAAGTTTCCCCAAAGTGAACCACTGCCATTCTCTGTGACAACAAGGTCCCAAGCTTCTTTTACAATGAGAACAGCTGCGTTTGTATCAAGAAAGCCAGTGTGACAAGTTTCTCCCAGAGAACCAACAGCATCCCTAACAGCTTCTCTCCAGTTCTTGCTTTTATGTTGTTGGCAACAATCCTTAGGTGGGCCTCCCAGACCCAGCACCACGCTGGTTCAGTTCAGCTGGGATTTGCGAGTTCATCACCAATTGTCAATCCACCACACCCTTTTAAAATGTACAATTCAGGATTTTCAGAATGTTCTCAGATTTGTGAAACCCATCAGTATTGTCTTAATTTCAGAACAAAGAGGTCTTCACTCAAGGGCCAGAGATAGCAAAAGCCTCACTGGGGAATCTGACCCACCTGAGGTGAAAGACCAGAGACTGAGGTCAAAAGATCCCTCACTAACAACTTCTCTCACAGAGAGACTCATGGGCAGTGTACCACTGTAGACCCAGTCCCTAGTTGGTACATTAGGCCCCCATGTTACAGATGAACAGTCAGTCAAGAAGCATCTGAAGAAAGCCACTGTCCTCACAGACACCACAAATAAACACAGAGTAATTCAATTTGTAGGAAATGGGAATAATATCATGAGAAGATAGCTTTCCTCCAAATTATCAGTACCCCACCCTTGGAGAGTTGGGAAAAAACATCATCTACATGAAACAAGCATAGGACACTATAAAAAAAAAAGAAGTAATGCAAAAAGACAGAGGGTTGGAGCCAGCCACGGTGGCACACACCTGTAATACCAGCTATTCATGATGGTGAGGCAGGGGGATCACAAGTTTGAAACAAGCCTGAGCAACTTAGCAAGACACTATTTAAAAAAAAAAGGCTTGGCATGTATCTCAGTGTGAAGGCCCTGTGCTTAATCCCCAGTATCACAAAAGAAGATCCCCACCTGCCCAAATAAAAACCCAATCAAACAATGGACAACTAAAACAAATAGACACTTCTCAGAAGAAGTACAAATCACCAATAAATACATGAAAAAATGTTCAGCATCTTTGGCCATTAGAGAAATGCAAATCAAAACAACACTTAGATTCATTTCATCGTATTCCAAAAAGAATGGCTATAGTCATGAATTCAAAACACAAGAAGTTAGAGAGGTTGTGAGGAAAAAGCAATCATTCTACACTGTTGGTGGGAATGTAAATTAGTACATCCACAACGGAAATCACTTTGAAGATTCCTTAAAAAACTAAAAATAGAGATTTTATTTGCCCCACTATGCCTCCTCTGGGTATGCTACCAAAAGAATTGAAGATATATCACAGGAGTCATGCACGCCCACAGTTATAGCAGCACAACTCACAACAGCTAAGTCTTGGAAAGAAGCAGCCCATATGTCCATCAACAGGTGAACAGAAAAGAAAGTGTGTGTGTGTGTGTGTGTGTGTGTGTGTATAAACTCCACCATAAAGAAGGATAAATTTGAGTTATTTGTAGGAAAATGGATATACCTTGTGGTCATAATGCTAAGTGAAACAAATCAGACACAGAAGGTTAAATACCATATGGTTTCTCTTATATGAGACACTGAAACAAAATATATGCAATAGCAAACAGGGGGTAAGACCTTTGGCAGATGAGACTAGGGATGGAGCCAGAGGGGAGAAGGGAGAAAGGAGAGGAAGGAGAAGTAAAAGCTATGTTTATGTACTTAACACTGGACCCTAGAAGGCAGAAGTGCCTTCAAACTTTGATACCCAAAATGTGAATCAAGTGAAGACAGTCTAAAGGCATTTTTGCAGTCTCGAAAAATTTTCATTTGTTTCCCTTCTCAGGAAGTTAATGGAGGATGTTCTCCTCCTCCATAACAAGGAATAAACCAACTATGAAGAAGATGAAGATCCAGAAAAAGGTCCTCAATTCAAGAATGATACAGGAAATGGGAGGATATTGGAGATAGACACAGGACACCTCAGCACAGGTTATAGCAGGTGGGGGGGATCTGGAGAAGTCTCCAGAGATGCAAGTGAAAATACTGACAGTAAGTTTAGACAACACAAAGGTATTCTGGAAATGAATTAGTAAAGATACATAAAAAATAGTAGACAACAATTAACATCAGGGAAGGCAAGCAGCTGTGCCAGAATACAGAAGCAGTCACACCATTCCTGCATGGCTTAGGCTGGTGATACTGACATGCAGCTCACTAGAATCTGACACAGGGACAGTGTGGTCATGGGAAGAAGGAACCATGTGTGGTGTGACTTCAGAGCAGAGAGGAGGAGGGTGAACAGAGCTGAGTCTATCCACAGTTACCTTGAAGAGCAGTTCTGGCCAGGAAGGACAGCTGCAAACCACCAGAACCCAACTGCCCCCTACAAGGCATTCAGTATGGGTGTTAGTGTTAGGAGGGCACTGGTGTTCTAACTCTGACAAGTAGCACTGTAAAAAATATGTGTATTTAGAGGAGCTTCCCACCTTACATAAGTGAATGGTACAAAGTAGGGAAATGTTGAAATGTTTACAGAAAGACAAGTGAAGAAAAAGAATACATATTATAGTAGGTATTAGCATACACAAAGGTAAAGAACTGCAAAAAAAAAGCTACAAGGTTACATTAAATATGATTGATGATATCTTCGTCATTTTCCTTGTCACTGGGACAAAATACTTGATACTTCAAACTAAAAGGGAAGGTTTGCTTTGGCTCATGTTTCAGAAGGTTCAGCCTTTGCATGCTTTGCAGCATGGTGGAAAGACCTGGGCAGAGGAAAGCTGCTCACCTTATGGTGGCCAGAAAACAAGAAGTGAAAGGAGGGGCTGGGAGGGAGATATACCCTTCCAGGTCATGTCCCCAGTGACCTGACTCTTTCAACCAGAACCCCTCCTAACAGCAAGTTAGTTATAAGCCCCCATAATTTAATCACCTCCCAAAAGCCCCACCTATGAGTGCATGAGACTCTTGGGGGGCATCTAGGTATAAACCATAACAGATGACAAAAGCATGGCAAGCAGGCCACCCACGGCACATTCCTATATCCAGATGAGACACCCTAATCGTAAGTATTCTTCTCCATCACAAAATCCTCTTCAAAATAATGCTTCAGGGAGCTACCAAGCACAAAATGAAATGGAAACTCCTCTGCTATTCCCAACATATACTGGAGGGCCACTGATAAAACTGCAATAGGTTAGAAATTAAGTTTCAATCTAAGCTGTCCAGGCACCTCCAGAATATCTCAAAGGAACAGAGCGCAGTCTCTCTTGGACACCTAGAAATCCCCAAAGAGAAATCTGCTGTGTGGGTCCCTGAACTCTGAACGTAGACTGTGACACTCTCTTGCCAACCCAAGAGCTAGGATTCCAAAGGAGAAAGTAATACACAATCTCAGAATGGGAAAGACTACCAAATATGGGGTGATCTTTTCCTGAACTTACTATAATCTGAGGTTTTGCAAATGATTTCAGTGAAGAATATAAATCACTGAAGGACAAGGAAGAACCAGAACTGGCTGCAGATCCTTACAGGGTGAGCAATGCCCCTTGGTATGAGAAAAAACTGCAGGCTTCCAAGGAGGCTGGGGATGCCCGGTCCTCAGGGTGGCTTTTCGAAGGCAGGAGTACTGGAGAAATGCCAGAGTCGCTGTGTACCTAATCCCTACCATGATTAATGTAATTGTTATCACATACCAAGCTACAGGGGTGATCAAAATTTATGGTGAAAGTTAAATTTTTAAAAATTGTTACAGTAAGACACATTACTATGAATATCCCACAAAATACTTCTCCTTTCTTCAAAAATACTTATTCCATCATTGCCACTTTCTGAAGCAGTTCTTGAAATCCTCTTTCCTAAGTGTCTCTAAGAGGTTTGATAAAAAATACAGTGAATGCTGCTACCAAGTGCCATCCAACAGAAAAACATCTTGTAAAAATAAGACAGTGTCTCACCCACTTTATTCACCTGATATGAGACTGTGCAACTTCTGGTCCTTCTCCAAAGACAAAATGATCATGAAAGGCAAATGTGTGTTCAGAAAGAGGAAGTACTATGCAGGGGGTTAATGACAATGTGTCTTTTATTATAATATTTTTAAAACCTGAACATCCACCATATGTTTCCTTTGCACCTTACATGTGTTGTCTGCAAGTCCCTAACTGGGAATCTCTGGAAAGCTGTCTCTTCTCCAGGCTGCCTTGCCAAGAAATAATAGCTACTTGGTTCCCCAGGCTGTGGACACAGTGTGGCTGATAACAGGACCACAGGCTGGCCACAGAGACAGATTGCACTGTCACCACGTCACCTTTGGGTTTCTAAGAAACGCATTGCCTTCTTTGCCCTTTGCTGTTTAATCTTGAACCCTTCAAGGTTTCCTCAATCCACAGCACACAGATAGAATAACTCATGTACTTTCATCAACAGGTTCCATATCAAGAGCTTTCAGCAGAACAGTAGATAAGATAGAGCTAATATACAAATAAAAGGGAACAGAATACATTAGGGGTAAGTTACTAGATTATAATTTTAAAAAATAAATAAGCAGCATAGATAATGAAAGGCCTTTTGTTCCAAGGAAAAGAACCACTTAGAGCAGCAAAACCTTAAGACATCAGGGTGAGGGATGCTCTGGGAGGTGCATATCAACTGAGGGGCATAAAAGGCCATCCCCCACAGCCTACACTGTGAGTTCCCCAGAAAAGGCCAGGCCCTAGCATACTAAGCAGCTCACTGTGGGCATCAGAGTGGTTTCCAGGAAGGTGGGCATCTGTATAGCTGCACAATTGACATTGTCTAGCCCCAGGCCAATGAGTAGATATAGCACATCCCACTCACCTCTGAGTTGCCTTGAACTCTGCGTCACTCTGGTCACTCCAGAGTAGCACTGCCCACTTGCAATGTAAAATTGTTTAAGGTACTGAAGACTAGTATGATGTAAAAAAAACTATGAAAATAATTTGTGGGTTAAAAAACATGAAGTTATTACTCTGTGGCTAATAAACCAAGAGGCAGGCCCATTTAATCTCAGAAAAGTGGGAAGAAAGTAGATACCAACCCACAAAAAAAATCTACAGCTCAAAAAAATCAACTATACCTAATTCACACCATAAAGTAGTTCACCTCATCAAGAGAATGGGGCAGAGTACTCACACTGGATAAAAGCTTTCAACAGAAAAATCTACCTTAGTGAACAAAAAAGAAGAAACTACCCTCAAAGCCTACAGGAGGACTTTACTGCACATACATTTTTTTGATGGTAATACAAGTCTGAAGTTAATAATAAACTACGTAAGCCAGGTGTAGTAACACATACACACCTCTAATCCTAGCATTCTGGGAGGCTGAAGCAGGAAGATCACAAATTTGAATTCCACCTGGGTAACTTAGCAAGACTATCTCAAAATAAAAAAGGACTAGAGACATAGCTCAATGCAAAGACCTGGGTTCAATCCCCAGTACCACAAAAAAAATAAGATAATGTAAATCTCTCCTGCTTATAATTGTATTACAATTATTTCAATACACAAGGCCAAGGAAAAATTCTTACTTTACACAGCTATTCTTCTCATCACATTCTTTCTTCTCAGCTAATCTTAGTGGTTTCTCATTTGGCTTCTGACTTAAAGCACTAGAAATTTAAAAAAATCAAAAATTGTATTAAAACTTGTGAATCCATTTACCCCAATATTGAGAACATCTTTATTTTCCAGGGGGAAATTAAGACCCAGCAGTGAAGAAACATTTGGTTTACCTAAGTGAATTTCTTGAAGACTCAGGTGTAGCCCTGTAGGTATGGAGAGCACCCCTGACACTTTGGAGCCAGCCACACAGTTTACCTCCCACTAATGACAACTTAGAACTCTCGACAGCGAGTGGGGTAATGGGAGATAACAGTAAAAACCTGCAAACAAACAGAACCCTCGAGAGTGGTGAGACCTGGATTGACAAGAGGTAGGCATCAAAATTTCCCAGAAGCTCCTTTCACAGCCAGCAAACTGGAAAGAGGGCCTTTATGCTAGATTGTGAGGAATCCCCAGTGTTTTTCCCCCCTCTATTTCTCTCCTTGGCCCTGCCCCAGGGCCAGCTCCAGTCTTAGAGGAGCATCTCAGTCACCTAAAACCCCAAAAGAAAACCTGTCCCTGTAGCCAGAGGATCTGGGAAGTGAGAAGCCTGTGTCCAGTGTGCACAGAAAATCTCCACTGCCCTTCTTTTCCACACCTCTTGTTGTTTTGCTCCCCAGGCAGCCCATACCGAGACCAGACTGCACAGAAATTTCTTCAAGAGGCCAGAGGAGCAGGAACAAGGGGCAGCCAGAACTGGGGAAGGTAACCCAGAAACACAGGGGGCCTGGTTGGGACACCCTGTTGCTGTGACCCAGTATGAGCCCCAGGCTGGGTACTTGCGAACAAGCAAAAGCAATATGGATGGACTGGGTATATAGCTCAGTGGCACAGCACCTGCCTGGCAAAAGCAACATGGAGATTGCGCTGATACCACTACCACCCGCACAGACTGAGGCAGAGCCTGAGGTCTGAACCTTACATCAAGTTGCTGTCTCCAACCTTATCCACAGGATTTTAACAGAAACCAGAGTCTCACAACATATTACGCAAAATATCCAGAATAGGGGCTGGGGATTTAGCTCAACAGCAAAGCGCCTGCCTGGCAAGCACAAGGTCATGAATTTGATTCCTGGTACCAGAAGAAAAGCAAAAAAAACCAAAAACAAAAACAAAAACAAAATATCCAGAATATAACACAATTTACTTAACAGACAAAAAACAGAAAAATCAGATCAATTGTAAAGAGGAAAGACAAAAGTGCTAACCCTAGGAGTGCTTATAAGTGGGACTCATCAAACACTTTAATGCAGCCAATATAACCAAGCTCTCTAAGAAAAGCTTAGCACTTTTTGCTCTTTTGACACAGGGTCTCACTATATATTCCAGGCTGGCCTTGAACTTACTATGTAGGCTCAGGCTGTCCTCAAATGGGCGGCAGTCCTCCTGCCGCAGAACCCCTGAGGACTAAGATTACAGGTGTGCACCATCACACCTGGCCAAGTTTAGCACTCTTTAATGGAAAAATAGAGTCTTTGCAAAGAAATAAACTATTTAAAAATTCCGGGGCTGGCGTTTAGCTCAGCGGCACAGCGCCTGCCTGGCAAGTGCAACGTTGTGAGTTCGATTCCCGGTACCAGAAAAAAAACTAAAAATTCCAAGCAACTTCTAGAAATGAAATACCTGAATGGGCTCAATAACATAATGGAGAGGACAGAAGAAACAGATCAGGGCCGGGTATACAGCTCAGTGGCATTAGCACCTGCCTAGCAAGCGCAAGGTCCTGAGTTCGATCCTGGGTACCAAAAACACACACAAAAAAGAAACATCAGTATAATTATTAATAAGAAAAAAGGTTGAAGATGAAAAGAGCCTCAAGAACCTTTTAAGAATATCAAATGTCTGAAATTTTGTATTGGAATGTCAAAAGGGAAGGAAAAAAGAGACTGGAGCAGAAAAAATATTTACAGAAATAACAAATACTTTGTTCTATAGTTTGGATGTTTTTGCCTTTTTCGTGTTTTCCATTGAAACTTAAGTGTCTAAGGCAACAGCATGTGGAGGTGGCCTCCTGGAGGTGTTTCAGTTAGCCCTCATAAGTGGATCAATGATACACTGGGCGTGATGGTGCACATCTGTAACCCCAACATTCTAGAAGGCTGAGGCAGGAAGATCAAACGTATGAGACACAGTGGGCAATTTAGTGACTTGGTGAGACTCTATCTCAAAAAAAAAAACTATAAAAAAGGATAGGGATGTAGCTCAATGTGAAGCTCAACACCCAGTACGGAAAGATCAACAAAACACTTGTGGCAGTGGGTTCATCTCTCACTCTTGCTCTTGTGCCAAATGAGGAATAGTGGTCTTCCTCTCTGGAGGAGGCAGTGTTCAAGGCGCCATCCTATAAGCTAAGACCAGGCCCTCATCATACACCAATGCTGCTGGCACCTTGACACTGGACTCCTAACCTCCAGAACTGTGCGAAATACATTTTTGTTCCTCACAAATTACTCAGTCTGCAGTGTTTTGTGACAAAATGAACAGATACTTCTGAAATTTGATGTAAGACAGAAAGCTACAAAAACTTTAACATACCCCAAGCATAAAAACATGATAAAGGGGCTGGGGATTTAGCTCAGTGGCAAAAGCGCCTGCCTGGCAAGCGCAAGGTCGTGAGTTCGGTTCCCGGTGCCGGAGAAAAAACCAAAAAAAAAAAAAAAAAACATGATAAAAACTACACCAGGACATATAAATTGCTCAAACCAATAACAGACAATCTTAACAGCAGTCACAGGAAAGACACACTGCTTACAGAGAAACAAAGAAAAAGATGACAACAAATCTTCCATCAAAAAACATGCTATGCAGAAATGTCTTTATATAGGGCAAAGTACTGATTCTATAGATAGAAAATTTTTTTCAAAAATTAAGCTACAATGAATAATTTTTCAGACATACGAAAGTGAAAGAGCTCATCACCAGCAGACCTCCCAACATAAGAAATGTTAAAATAAACCCTTCGGGTAGAAATAAAGTGGTATCCAATGGAAATGTGGACTTACAAAAAAAGTGAAGACCATCGGTTTAACTACAGAGGTAAATATATGGAATTGCTTTATGATTAATCTTTCATGCCTGTATCTTGTAATCTGAGCAACTACTCTGAAGATAACAATACACAATATATTAACCATTATTAATCTCCTATTATCTTGTTTTGCAACTCTATCATTGCTATTTTTTTCTCTTTAAAGTAAAAAAACTCTAAAAGTTAATTATTTACATAAAAGTGATAATAGAGTTTACACATTTACAACATATATATAAATACAACACATTTAACCATAGCATAAAGTCCAGGATGGGGGAAATAGAATTATCCCATTTTAAGCTTTTACCCTATATATGAAGAGTATGTGACATCTTTTATGTGATTTTATTAATGTCACTGATGTGCATCTCAGTGAGGACAGTGCTTAGTGGAGTTTCTGAAGAAGATAAGCCATTCTTTGCTTTCCATCAACTTGTATCTTAGTCCCTTTCTCACTGCTGAGACAATACCTAACACCCACAGCTTAAGAGGAGCGGTTGATTTTTACTCAGGATTTTAGAGGAGTCAATCCACAATTGCCCGGCCCTATGGCAGGAAGATACGGTGGAAGGTCTAACAGAATAAGCTGCTCAAGTCCTGTCTGTCAGGAAGGAGAGAGAGCAGAGGAAGAGGGGAGAGACTTGCCTCTTCCAACCAGGCCCCACCTCCTAACAGCACACACACTCAGCTACCGACCGTAAGTGACCCAGCAGGCTGCAATGCCCTGGTCCACACTTTCCACCCTTCACATCACACCCACTTGTGCCAGCCTTCACTGGGCCTGCCTTGCAAAAAACAACTTTGCCTACTAAAGTAACCAGGAGAGTCACTGCCAGTTTTCAGTTCACTGTGCTGCTAACCAGTTGCCACAAGACTTTTCCTTTAAGTTAATATGTATTCAATCAAAGTTTCCTGGGTCACCCTTTTTTGAAATCAAATACTTTCCCACCATTACCTTTTTAGAACCTAGAACAGTGTACAATTGACCCTTCATGTCTGTGGGCTCCTAAACAACTTCCAATTGAAAATACTTGAGTAAGGTATGTACAAACCTTGTTTTCTTGTCATTATTCTCTGAACAACAACAATTATTTATGTAGAATTTACATTACATCAGGTATTATAAGTAGCCTGAAGATGGTTTTAAAGTACATGGACGAATGTGTATAGGTTCTATACCATTCTAGGTACAAGACTTGAATACATGCAGATTTTGGTATTCTCCAGGTCCTGGGACCAATCCCCCAAGGATACCAGGGGATGTCTTACTATATAAGGTCATGTACTACATCTGAGGCTCCAGTGGGTCACACTGAATTTTTGAATCTTACCTTGCTGCAGATACATCTGGATCAGCATATATGGTTATGCCTCTTTTTATTGGCCAGTAAACTGAAGATTCAACACACTATAAAAAATATTCAGAAAGAATATGTATGTTTAGCAAGATATATATTCTTTTGGAACCAACGTTCTATGGAAATTGTCATAAACAACCACTGTGGACAATTTTTAGGTATACACAGACAAGAAGAGACAAAGAGCTGACAAGTTGGATGATTATGTTGTGACTGTAATTACTAGACTGAAATGTCCAAATAGAAGGCAGCTGGCAATTCAGATAATTACTGTCTAAAATGTTCTACAATTACTTTCACCTGTCTTGTGCAAAGAACCAGAAGGCAATTTAGAACTGAAATTAACTATTAGAGTGCCCCCAAATCTCAGATTTTCATATCCTTATTAAAATAATCATAAAATGATGATAAATTCCTGAATTTATAGAGGGGCTATTACTCAGCAAAAACAAAAGCTTGACAAGACAGAGCTGGAGGGGCTGGGGATTTAGCTCAGTGGCACAGTGCCTGCCTGGCAAGTGCAAGGTTGTGAGTTCGATTCCCGGTACCAGAAAAAAAAAAAAGAGCTGGAATTACCTTGTTCTTTCAAAATAAGCAAACATTTCAAGTGTACTTTTTCACAAATAAAACCACCACAGCCAAATATTTTAATTGAAATATACTTTGGTTCATAATAGAACAATGCTATTAACATTATATGAACTTTAGATGTAATGAACATTTTAAAACACAACCTTATTTACATCTTTTAAAGAGACACACTGCTGCTGCTCAGATTTTTTTTTAGATGAGTCTCTCACTGAATCCATATTCCATTTTACATCTTTATCTGCAAGATAAAATAATAAAAAACTACCTTAAAAACTGTTGATAGGAAATAGTACAAGAAAGAATACAATGCAAACAAATATCACTATAAAATACTAATGCATGAAATTATTGTGTATATTAAAACTTTACTCAAGGGAATTAAAGTTCTAAAAATTCCCATACCAGCTTACCAAGAATAAAACACAATTTATTTTCCCAACTAGGCAGAATGTATTTTCCAAAGAGGGCTACAACTGCATTTCCCACACACATGCTCTTCTTATAATGTGACTCTGACTCCCACTGACATGCAATCTATATTTCTTCCCCATGAACCTGGGTGGGCTTATAAACAACACGAGGGTGATGTGATGCAGCTCTAAAGCTACTTCACAGAAACACACATGCTACTGACTTGCTCTCTGGGATATGCACCTCTAAAAAGCCCAGCTGCCATGCTATGAGGAAGCTCAAGCAACCACATGGAAAGGCCATGATGGGATACTGGATGACAGGCCCAACCAAGGTCCCATGCAAAAGCAAGTATCAAACTGCCAGAAATGTGACTGCAAATATCTTCAGATGAATCCAACTGGCTAGTTACACCAGCCTTTATGTCTTCCCAGCTGAGGGCCCAGACACGGATACAGACAAACCCTCATCCTGTGTCCACCGTGAATCTACTAGTGTTACAGAAGTTACTGTTTCCCACCACAAGTTTGGGGAGATGTGTCATCCGGTAATAGTAACCAAATACCAGTCAGAACTCAGTGTTCGCCATGGTTCAGGATCACAGTTGTGCATCTCATTTCTTAATTGAACAATACATACAGCAGATATTAGAATACAGACTGAATTAAACCCTGGAGGTATCAAAATTCTAAAGAAAAAGAAAAAGAAATTTAAAAACTCAAAAAAAAGAAATGAGAAAACATTCTATACCAGACTCTTTCAAGTAGCTTAATCCTCTTGACCTCAAAGTGACAAATGTTGTTTAGTGAATAATACAGATAATCAAGCTGGATAATTTAAACATTGGGGTAAAAGCTGGGGCATGATTTCAGGGAAAAGAAAAAACAAAGGAAACCCAACTCAGTGATCATTTACTAGAGAACTACTCAAACAATTCTAGAAGTGTTCACCTTAATTATGTAGTATGAGAAATACATATTGAAATGAGTTACAACTTTCACCCATTAAACAATACAAATCACTAAAGTAGTAGCCAATACCAGAAATGTTTGATATTGTAAACTCGCCTAATCCTTCCTTAAAGTACTACATGTTATATGGTATTGAAGCCTAGAATTATATTATCTCTTCAGGCAATCTTTCAGCCAAAAAATATAAACTCTAATCTGGAGCCAGAAATGGAGGTGATAGTTAAAATTTACCAAGAGAAAATGTCCATATAGGAAAGCTCTTTGTGTTATGTACATGTACTAACTCCCCACAATGAATATAATCATTACGTACTGCAAATCTAATAAAAATTCTAGGAAGACAAGTTCTTAAATAAAAACCACGAAGTGTTTCAGTGCTATTATAAATGATAAAAGGGGGGGGGACAAAAAGTAGCCTGAAAGCTGGGTGTGGTAGCACACATCCATAATCCCAGCACTCAGGAGGCTGAGGCAGGAGGATTTCCAGAGTTCAAGTCCAGCCTGGGCTACACAGTGAATTTGAGACCAGTCTACACTACACAGCAAGACTCTGTCTCAGAAAAAAACAAAAACAAAATCAAAAAGCCAGAAAAGGAATCTAAAATAAATCTATTTAAAATATTCAACATGTACTAACTCCTTACAAGGAATGTAAACATTATGTACTACGAACATATACTAGTAAATATTTTAAAATTAAATATCCGATACATAAAGAATAGCGCTTATAGGTGAAAATTCCCTATGACAAATGTGATCATTATTTATGGCAAATACATACAAATAAAAAGAAGAGTACTAATGAACCAAAACAAGTGCATATGTAAGATAGGCAAATACATAAATGAACCAATTAGAGCCAGGCATGGTGGCAAATGCCTGTAATCCCAGCACACAGGAGGCTGAGGCAGGAGGACCGCCCTAAGTTTGAGGCCAGCTTGGGCTACAAAGTTAGTTCTAGGCCAGCCTGAACTGCATAGCGAGACCCTGTCTCAAACAAAACAAAAGAAAACCAATCAGAACAGTAAACAAGATGAAACGGTCACCAGGTTGCTGGGCTGAGTGGCACACACTTGCAGTCCCAGCTACTCAGAAGGCTGAGACGAGAGGAATCCCTGAGCCCAAGAGTTTGAGGCCAACCTGGGCAACTAAGCAAGGTCCCATTCCAAAAACAAAGAGCAAACCTCTCAGAAATCAACTCAGAGATGTACAATGGAAAGGTTTTTAAAAAGGCTCAGAGAACTGGATGACAGGTGAAGAATCTTTGACTAAACTAGACTCAACCCAGCAGTAATCACAAATGAAGTGCATATTAGTATAGATTCCTTCTTTTCAAAATATTTACAGGAAGAAAGATAAAGGTGCACAGACACATACACACAAGCTCCTGGTTTTCAATACGCAGACATAAAATACACAAATGTGATGGAGACCACTATGAAGCAGCTCTGAGCAGGATTTAATATTAACCAACTGGCTTTTCATGTTTATCTGTGAGTTTGCCTGAGGCCTAGGCTTTTGTCTGGAGATGGGCAGCAGACTCACAGTAAGTGAACCTCTGTGAGTCACTGGTCCCCACTGAGGCCGGTATTGGTCTTTGTAGGTGGGATGCCTCAAAGGACAAGATAAGGCCATGACTGAGGATGTTTGCCTCCAACCCCAATTAACTAAAAGGAGACTATAGCTGTAGGCATCTCACTCCAGCAGGGAAGGCCTTCCTGGAGATAACACAGTTCTCCTAAATTAACATGAAGTATTACTTGGAGAAATCTGTAAAGGGATTCCCAAATCTTGCCCAGATTCCTGCATTTTCTTCAGAATTACCCTCCTTTAAAAACCTAATAAATATGGGCTACCTACAGAAGTTCTTGATCTAAAACCTCAGAATTTCCATTTCTGTGAGAGGCTTTGGATCCCCCAGGACCCTGAAATCATTTCATTTGTTTCCTTTATTTAAGTCTTCACTATCCACTCAGAGATTGAGGGCCTGATCCACCTACGATAACTATGGGATATTATTAACGTGATATAAATGTACATGTACACACACATGGATACACATACAGACATCCATACATATTTCCCTAGTCTCCACTGTCAGTGCCTGGGAACAATGATGCCCCAGTACCAGAAAACACACCTTGTTTCAAACCTTGGCTTGAAATTGCCATTCTCCAGAAAGGGAGCCAAGGCAACCTGGAGAAACTCTTGATTTCAGGGTTGCAGAAAGCTCAGTGGTAAAGCATTTGCCCACCGTGAAACCTGGGTTCAACCCCCAGAATCACAAAAGAAAAAAGAACAATTTTATTGAAATGATAGATACACACTTCCCAAGAGTAGAGACTTTGGTCCTTCTCTGATAAGCCCTTGGAACATGGCCTGACACACAGTTGTGTTTCATAAATACATGAGTTAGTGAATGTGGATGTGGGGTGTCAGAACTCACCTGTTGTATACGTGGAGACAATTCTGAGACTATAGGCACAGGCCACTATACCTGGCTCTTACCTCCAAATTTGAAAACACTTATATGTATTCTATTTGAGTCTGAATCTTTTTTTTTTTTTTTTTTTTGGCAGGGTCTTACTGTGTAGTTCAGCCTGGCCTTGACCTCATGGCAATCCTCTTGCCTCAGCCTCCTAAGTGATTGGATCGCAGGCCTGTGCCACTATACCTGGCAAGTCTGACTTATTTTAGATGCTACTAGCTTGTATGACACATGCACTCTTTTATCCCTATTCTATATTCAATCATTCACCCATCTTCCTTTCCCATCTTCCCCTTCCTTCTTTTCTTTCAATTTTTGAAATGGGTCTTGCCATATTTCCCAGGCCGGCCCTGAATTCCTAAGCTCAAGCATTCTCCTACCTCAGCCTGCCAAATAGCTGGGACTACAGGCATGCACCACCACATCTGCTCACAAGCCTGTTACCTTCTTTACATCATAAAATCTCTAACTCTAGACTGCAAGATTAATGATCACTGTTGGCATTTTTTCTTAAATTAAGAAAAAGAAGCCAGGGTAGAGAATTACCATAGTCTTTTTAAACAGTTATCTTTATAATCCCTATGTTAAGGGGCTGCAGGTATAGCTCAGTGGTAGTTCATGTGAGGCCTGGGTTCAATCTCCAGCACCAAAATAAATGAATAAATGGTCCGAACTAGCAGGACTCACCCAGTACTGCAGCAGCTGGCCCAAGGTCACCAACAACACCCTTGCACCATGTGTGCTGGACAGACTGTGCCAGAAAATTGAAACCATGTGAATCTGAAAGCACAAATTTCAAAATTAAACCATGGAATAAAAAGCAAAATGAAAAGTAAATTTGTTGATATAGTTCTGCTCCTACTTTACCATAAAATTAAAGAAGCCTTAACAAGAGGACAGCAGCGTGTGAGGGGACTATAACAGGGAAGAAGAGAGGAGCACTTAAAATTGTTTTCTGAGGTCCATGACTCTCTTCTCATATTTTCATGCTAAGATTATTTGCAATAAATACTTCTTTTTAAAAGTGTATAAAAAGCCGGGCATGGTGGCGCACGCCTGTAATC